GAGGCTGAGCATGTACAAAATAGCATTTCATTTTGAATTTATGGTTTAAGTCGCGTATTCAAAGGTTTAAATTTCCCGCTATATCACGGACATGCGCGTGACTACCGGAAGTAATAACCGGAAGCATGAAACACATGTTTTCACTCATTTAAAGAGTGTTTTTTGTTGCAATAAAGCAACTAAGGGAGGGTTAAAACCTCTCTATATTATATTATAAGACATTAATCACATACTATGATACTATACACAAGGGAGGGTTTGTACATGCTCAGCCTCCGGCTTTATTCAAATAATGCCCTCCATCCTGCACTAAAGCTTGGATGGGGGTCCATTATTTTTCATCAAGCCTTCGGCTTCACATGTACAAAATAGCATCTTTAAAGGCAACAAAAAACAAATATTTTCCAAGTTTAATACCCCAAAAAATATTCTATGTTCCAAAAACAGCATCATTATAAGAAATACCAGATTCTAAGTTTCTACAATAAAACTTATGAAAATTTTTAGATGATTTCCAATCAGCAGTTTTTAAAATCTCCCTTATTGAACATCCTTTATTATAGGCAGCCGAAGCTGATGCTCCTCTATAAGAATGCGCCTTATATTTACGTTTACGTTTGCGTTATATCAATCCCTGCTAAACTTAACACATTTTTTAACCATCTTGCCAAAGTGCTCGAAGAAACAGCATTAAAGGTAACATATGAAACAAACACCTTTTTACTTTTTCTAATATCAGCAGTCTTTTTAACATAATAAAGTAGAGTATGCATTGGACATATATTTTCTTCCAGATAATGCTCTATCCTTATAGAGTAATATTGACCTGTCTTGGATGTCTTCAAAATATCCGTGAATGTGAAAACAACTGCCTGTTGTTGAATAAACATATTGTCTAAAGTTAAAGAACACAAAGTCTGAGCTCTTGGTGCAGTTGCAAGAGCAATCAAGGCTAAGGTTTTAAAAGTTAATAATTTCAAAGATAACCTAGATAATGGCATTAACTTTTGTAAATAACACAAAACAACAGAAACATCCCAAATCATTATATAACGCGGTTTAGCCGGTTTATGTAAAAATACACTTCTCATGAATCTTACAATCATTTTGTTGTCACTACACCATGTATTTCCCAATAATGACAATGTTTGCATTAACATCGCTTTATGAAGATTTATAACCGAATATGACATACCAGATTGAAATAAAAAATACAGGTAACTCACGACTACACCTTCAGACGAACAAATTGGACTGGAACATCTAATAGAATTCCACATATACCATCTTTTCCAGGCACTGCTATACTGTTTTCTTGTGCCCTGTGACCAAGATTCTGCGATGAAATCTGCAACATTTGATGAAATTCCCTTACTCTGCAGGCTTTCCCTGATAACACCACTCCAATCATTTTTAATTTTCTTCCTAATGGGTGTAATGTTCCATTGTGCGGCAAAACTAGAAGATCTCTGTGTCTGGGTAAGCTGATAGGAAAATCACAAAGGTTTTCAAGTAGAATAGGGAACCAAGGTTGTGTGAACCAAAAAGGAACAACCATTAGAGCTCTATCAACCTCATCAATAACAATTTTATTTAGTACTTTCCCAATTAAATTAAATGGAGGAAAGATGTATGGTATCATATCCTTCCATGATAATGAAAAAGCATTAACTGCGTAAGCCCCTGGTTCGGGAAACCATGAAACAAATTTAGGTAAGTGATTATTAAGTCTAGAAGCAAAAAGGTCTATGTTAGGCATAAATGTGTGTCTACATAATCTTTCAAAAATATCTTTTTTCAATGTCCATTCAGTGGAATCTGAAAAATTTCTAGAATAATAATCAGCACTTTTATTTAATTTACCAGGGACATGTACAGCAGAAATATATATATTTCTACTTAAACACCATTCCCTAAAAAATTTTGAAAGGTCATCTAATTCCAAAGAATTCATACCACCAAAATTATTTATGTAAGTTACCACTGAAACAGAATCTGAATGAATCTCAATATGAATATCACAAAATTCATTGTAAAATGCTTGCATGCAGTAAAAAACTGCAAGGAGTTCCAAATAATTAATATGATAACCACATTCCTGATTTTTCCATCTGCCTTGTGTGTGCAAGCCAGAAATCAGGTCTATTCCACCATAACCTTCCATCGACGCATCTGTAAAACACCTTCTGGATACAGAAATAGGCCTGATTCTTTTACCATTTTTATTCTTCACGTTTTGTAACCACCATTGAATTTCTTGAATACTTTTCGTAAGACAAACTAACTTTATTATCAAAATTCATAGTTTGACCTAAACCTATCAACTTGTTTTCTTTCAAGGGCTCTATAATGTAGTGGCCCTTCTAAATTGCATAAAAAGAACTAACTATCACACCTATAAAAGATGCCAACTGTCTGACCAAAACAACCTCATGTTGCAATAAATAGGATGCTTTCGACATAATTTTCTGTACTTTTTCATCAGTCAAAAATACCTTGAACTGAACTGTATCAATAATATGACCAAAGAAAATAATTCTCTGACAAGGGATTAGCACAGACTTTTTCTCATTTATAGTAAATCCTAAACTCTGTAATGTCTTTGTAATAGTAACCGTATTATTCAAACACACATGTGACAACTCATTGAAATTAATAGAATCATCAATATAATAAGAACAGCGTATATCTTGCTGTCTAAACCAAGCAAAAATGGACGTAATACTTTAGTAAACAAATATGGGGCTATTTTCAAACCAAATGGTAAACATACAAATGAGTATAAAATAGAATTGAATGAAAACTTCAAATATTTCCAGTGTGAAGGATGTATAGGAATAGAGAAATATGCATCAGATAAATCAACTTTTGTCATAAAATCATTTTGTTTAATCAAATCCAAAACAATAGAAATGTTTCCTGTTTAAAATGACTATATTGTACGAACTCATTTAAAAATCTCAAGTTTAATAACTGGTCGAAATTTATTATTAGGTTTTAGGAACAATAAATATTGTTGAAATAAATTGATCAATCTCTGATTCTGATTTAATAATTGCTCCTTTTTTCAAAAAAATCTTGAATTTCATTATGAACAATTGTTTTTTGATCTGAACAAAAAGGAATTTCATTAGGAATGCTTCTTTGAAAAAGGATTTTCATTAAAATCTATCTTATACCTCGAAACTGCATTCAAGATCCAAGGATCTGAGGTAAATTTTTTCCATACACTTTAAAAAATACTGTGTACGTCCAACTTGACTTACCCTTTCATTTATTCCTGATCGTTTGGGGCACTGGCTGTAGCAGAAGCCAAGGCACCTCTTCTCATACCTCTTCCTCGTCCGCCTAGACCAATCTTGAAAGATTGTCCACGTAACGGATACGGTCTAGTCCTAAAACCAGAACGCTGATTGTATGTAGATGACTGGTAGCCGTAATTACTAAAAATTTGAGTTAACAAATCCTCGACCAGAGCGTCTACGCTGAACACCTCTATAATTGCTGTAAGTATAATCCTTACCAATGTACGATAAAGCATCACAACTTTTGACTTCTTTTGAAACATCGTCACAAAAAGTTTGGTTGTTATAGGCATCGAAATACTACACAATGAAGAATACTTCTTCTTCAAATACGGTCTTATAAGATATCTCCTCCTCAAACTGAGGTTGTATTGCACCTGACCCAGAACAGTAAACAGGTCAAGAGAAGATACATTTTGCCTCGTTTTTCATAAGATTGTTCTTTTTCACAAACTCAAGCAACTTAACAACTGGACCTAGGCCCGAAACCACAAGATTTTGTATGTCCACCATAAACTTATCTTGAAAATGGGCTCTTTTGTCTAATTTTTCCATATTTCCTGGTTAACAATGGGCGGAATGGCCCTATCACAATTCTTAGGTACTTGGTACTTATTCAAAATAGAGTCTAAGTCACACTGGGCAGTAAATGCCGTGTTAATTAAATTGGCCAAGGACTCATTCACTGGCTCACCTTTCTCTGGTATCTTTAATTTGGGAAGATCCCATGTATCAACTATCCGACTCAAGTCTATTATCAGTACAACCATCGTCAAAAGCCGAAGAAAAATCTTTTGACAGATTACGAATCCCTGTATCTTCAATATCAACATCTTGGGCAGCAACCTCCACCCTAAGGTTAGGTTTTAATGCTGCAGGAACAGCAGAATAGTTATCATTCACAGATTCATCATCCATATAATCATAATTATCCTCATTATAGTCATAGTTATCACAATCAGGGAGAAACTGAGGATTCTGTTGAACAACAGCTGTATACCAAGAAGAGTCCTAAGACCTTCAATATCCTTATTAGATAAGTTTTTTAAATCAAATTTATCCGAGGATAAATTTCTGTCCGATATTTCCGAAGAAATAGTATTCAAAGTTTTACCTGACTGTTTTTTGCCTTTACCACGAGGGGTTTTATTTTCTTTCTCCACCACGACGGATTTTAACCGTTTTTTGTCCGAAGACTTTTTCTCTTTCTTACCGGTAATTTCTTGGTCCGAAAACCCAGAAAAATCTCCCTCCTCACCCGAAGCATGAAGGTCTATCCTATCGAGAAGAGCCTCTTGGGCCATATTAATGCGGTTAAACGTAAAATAAGTTTTAAAGTAACTTAAACTTTTAAGAACACGCGACAACCACAACGCCAAAACAAAAAGTGAAAACATGTGTTTCATGCTTCCGGTTATTACTTCCGGTAGTCACGCGCATGTCCGTGATATAGCGGGAAATTTAAACCTTTGAATACGCGACTTAAACCATAAATTCAAAATGAAATGCTATTTTGTACATGTGAAGCCGAAGGCTTGATGAAAAATAATGAGTTAAACCGAATTATGCCAAACCTGTAAAATGAGTTAAACCGAATTATGCCAAATTAATAAGACTGTGGTTTATATCAAATATGTGTACTTTATTCCAACAATATCATTCATTAATATCAGTATGTCATTGTTATTCTTTCAGAAAGCAGTTTAGGAAATAGCAATAATGGTAACGATGATGAGATCTAGGTTTAGTGTTATCACAGTGGTAGGGGTTCTGATGTATACAGTGTTAGGTAAATATCCAGGAGAGGAGAAGCATGAAGTTGGTACGTTAGAAGGAGACGTGCAGAATTGGGCTGTTCTTATAGAGAACTATATACTTCAGGTAACATACTGGTGTAGAGGTACCCATTGCCATTGTTTTCTGTAGTGTTGTTTTCAAAACATTGCTGGATCCATCATTCCATACCACTCTAACTTATAGGGCAAATTATTTGAATAACATTGCTCTTGCAACGCATCCATGACATTTTGTCCACGACATATGTGACATTTGGATGACTTTATTAAATGTGGAAACTTGTCAAGAATTCATAACTTTTAAAGGGAATACATAATATACAGAACAATGACATTCTGTATATTCTTGATTGTGAAATAGACCTATTCCAAGAGTTAATAGAATGACCTTGATCATCAATGTACTTTGTTGATTCACTTTTCATATAAAGTCAACATCTGATATTACATGCAATTCAACGCAAAAAATCCATCAACTCTCAATTAAAACATTTTTGATTTCTATTTTCATATGATGCTACAACCATTATAATGATAGTAGTTTTGACCAGCTGGTCATTATTTATAGTTAGTAACTGTTATAGCCATATCATTAAAGTAAATCATTAGACCCTCTCAGAATTTGCGTGGTAGGGGCCATTTAAAGTGTTAATAACTTGCACCTTCTGGCAACAGGGCTATTTTAGTAACTCAATTGCCATTAGATTCTGAACTTCACATATCCTGGCAAAAATGACTTGTGTTTTTTTTTTTTTTTTACTTACCACAATTCATTTAAAGATGTTTAGGAATAATATATACTTTACTTAAGACATTTATATTAGTGCTACAAAAAAGAAAATTGATTGAAGAAAAAAGCGCCCAAAAAAACACAAAAAAACAACTGATGATATTGTGGTCCACAGCAGCCCATTAACTGCATGTTGGTTTATCTCCTTATTCATGATGTATAATGAAATGTATCTGTACAAATATATATATATATAATTGCAGGACATTTTAACACATACAGAAATTCCAATTTATTTCATACAGTATTTTTTTAATATTTATATATGAATATTATATTGGATGAATAATTTTTAGGCTAAATCAGTGTGCCTTAGTCTCATCTTTAAATGAGTGTGGAACATTAATGCAGACTTCCCGAAAGTTGAAAAAAACTGTCAGACATTCGGTCTGACAAACCATGAAAATCTGTCGGACGGAAACAAAATCTGTCGGACCAAATAAAATTGATCAAAATCAAAGAAAAACTTGTGTTTGTATTTCTAAGACACTTTTTGTCTTTTATTTTTTCGCCGTAAAAATCGGCACTATTCGTACAGCGCATTTTCATCTTCTCCCAGTCATACACCAATGATTCATGGTTCTGCTTCCATTTCTCATGAAACTTTGTCTCAGGTCTATTCTTTTCATCCTTTTATTGCTGTTCTGCGCACTCTTCTGACGTAGATTTTCGTTTTTCCCCAGGTTTGGCACCTTTAGCGACGCCATTTTGTATACATGCGGCTTGGATAAAAGCCGGACAGTCGGACCGATCCGGAATAAAAAAATGTCGGACCTGATCAAAATTTATCGGACATGTCCGTCGGACCGACGTATTTCGGGAAGTCTGTTAATGCACTGGACAAAACCCACCCTTTAAAATTAAACGAAGCTAACACATCCCACCTTGATTTTTTCTTAAGCTAACAAAAGCTCACTTTGAAATTTTCCATAGGCAGACAAGACCCCAACTTTAACCAAATTTACAAGGAAGACATCAACCCCTATGAAATAATAAAATGAGAATGTTTGTAAATATTTGTTCAGTTTAACTTTAATGTTGAATTGTTATACATGTATTTTGTTTTAATCTGTGCTTCTCAGATAAATTTGATATGTTATGGAAGTCAAGTTGTTTGTCTTTGTTGAAACAGTTATAGTATAATTATGATGGTTGCTATTTGCATTCCATGTTTGTTTTCATCCTTGTCAAATTTTAAGCAGTTCACATACACGTGTAATATTAAATAGAAAGAAAAATAGAAAGGTAAAACATTCAGTACAATTGTTTATATTTTCTAAGATGATGATGTACTGCTTCGCATGTGAAACCATCCATTGTTATTTGAAAAAATTTCAGCATCATTGTATTCAGCATTGTTTGTTTGATTGACTTTTACCTCACACCATCACAGTATAGGTCATATGGTGACATTTTAGCTTTACTGGTGGAGGAAAACCTCAAGTGCTATTCCGTACATTTTTTCAGTCATAAATGGGCACCTGAGTAGAACCACCATCTTTCCGTAAGCTAGCTAGATAGCTTTCTCACATGAAAGAATCCAAAGTCCCTGTCGGGATTCGAACTCACAGCGGTGAGTGGCAAGTGGTTTGAAGTCAACAAATTTAACCACTCTGCCACAGATGCCAATAAAGCAAGTTTAAGCAACCAGCAGTGTATTCTCTTATATGATTGCATGTCTCAAACCTGCCTGTTATTTTTGGTACTATTCACATTTGGTAAAGTTTTGTGTTTTGTATTGTGTTTTTCAGCTTGCATACGAAGGTATAAATCAGCACTACACACAGGGATATCTCGATCAAGCTAAATACCTCTCAGATACAAAGAATGGTCAAGATATTGTACGTCTTGTTAAAGACAACTTGGCAAACTATTTTGAGCAGAAAAAGAAAGCAGCAGAGGTAATTTTCTATTTGTGAATTACTAGTAGCAAATCATGTTCCATTTAGATATCATTGCTATTTTTTTAATTTTCCAAATAAGATTAGTTTTACATCATAAGGAAGGTCTCAAAATGAAAAGACATTTTTTTCAGCAGTTTACAAGATTGCTTTTGTAATGGGATAGTCATACATGAAGCCATTATCCTGTTTAGACGGAATATGTATGTTCTATTTCCTGAATTACTAAAGGTCTTCTTCTATCGGGAAGGGTGGAAAGTCACCATATGACTATTACAGTGTGAGTGTGACATAAAACTCAACAATATCATCATTTTGTGACTTAAGAATGATATTTGTTTGTACATAGAGAATAGTCAAGAGGATTGTTTGTTCATTTACTTGTTTCTGATGTTAGCATGAGTAATCAGACAACTATATGTAGAACTACGTGTGTGATATTTTGTGTGGGTTTTCCTAGTGCATTGACATCTAAATGTAATGAACTACAACTCCTGTAAAGTTCATAGGATGCTTGCTTGTTATAAATAGATAACCTTTAAGCTTGTTTAGCTCATCTTGCCAAAGGTTGATTTCATATTAAGTTGAGAAGATTCCTCATAGCATGTGAACATCGGATGATTGCTTAAGATCACTAGATCATAAGATGCCATATGTAGTTTTGGGATTCTTGGTCATGAAGAATTTTGTCCTATTATTAAAGAATATATAGTTTTATCTCTGCTACCTGCATTTTATAAATTATAAAAAAAAAAAAAAAAAAAAAAAAAAAAACTCATTTGATACAAAAAATGTCCAATTATAAAAATTTTAATGTCCAAGAGGAAAAATTGTATGTTTGATTTTATTTAATCAATTATATAGCTCCTTCTTTTGATCCCACATAGATGTTGTCATTTGCCCAGAAAGCTTACAAGCTTACTCAAGTTTCCCAGCAGCCATAGTCCGGGTTAAGAACCATTATATATCTGTTATTTCACAGTCTAGTAAATTAATTTTGTTATTTCAGAGTCTAGTTTATCTGTTATTTTATCTAGTAAATCAATTATATTATCTAGTATGTCTGCTATTTCAGAGTCTAGTAAAAATCTGTTATTTCAGATTTTAATAAATCTGTTATTTGAGGTGGCGTCATAGCCGAGTGGTTAACATGTTGGACTAGTAATCTGATAATCACTTGCTGCATGGGTTTAAACTCCATCAGTGGCAAGTCGTTGTTTCCTTTTGCAAGAAACTTTACACTCATTGTTCAGTACTGTTTGGTTCCAGGAACGGATTCGAAAGTATGTCTATAAACTTACAGCTTTCTACACAATGGAACTAAAATAAATTATTTATAAAACAAAACTGTTATTTCAGAGTTTTTCTTAAATTTTTTCTTTTAGAGTCTAGTATATTTGTTATTTCAGAGTCTAGTAAATCTGTTATTTCAGAGTCTAGTAAATCTGTTATTTCAGAGTCTAGTAAATCTGTTATTTCAGAGTCTAGTAAATCTGTTATTTCAGAGTTTAGTAAATCTGTTATTTCAGAGTCTAGTAAATCTGTTATTTCAGAGTTTAGTAAATCTGTTATTTCAGAGTCTAGTAAATCTGTTATTTCAGAGTTTAGTATATTTGTTATTTCAGAGTCTAGTAAATCTGTTATTTCAGAGTTTAGTATATTTGTTATTTCAGAGTCTAGTAAATCTGTTATTTCAGAGTTTAGTATATTTGTTATTTCAGAGTCTAGTAAATCTGTTATTTCAGAGTCTAGTAAATCTGTTATTTCAGAGTCTAGTAAATCTGTTATTTCAGAGTCTAGTAAATCTGTTATTTCAGAGTCTAGTAAATCTGTTATTTCAGAGTCTAGTAAATCTGTTATTTCAGAGTTTAGTATATTTGTTATTTCAGAGTCTAGTAAATCTGTTATTTCAGAGTTTAGTAAATCTGTTATTTCAGAGTCTAGTAAATCTGTTATTTCAGAGTTTAGTATATTTGTTATTTCAGAGTCTAGTAAATCTGTTATTTCAGAGTCTAGTAAATCTGTTATTTCAGAGTCTAGTATATCTGTTATTTCAGAGTCTAGTAAATCTGTTATTTCAGAGTTTAGTATATTTGTTATTTCAGAGTCTAGTAAATCTGTTATTTCAGAGTTTAGTATATTTGTTATTTCAGAGTCTAGTAAATCTGTTATTTCAGAGTTTAGTATATTTGTTATTTCAGAGTCTAGTAAATCTGTTATTTCAGAGTTTAGTATATTTGTTATTTCAGAGTCTAGTAAATCTGTTATTTCAGAGTTTAGTATATTTGTTATTTCAGAGTCTAGTAAATCTGTTATTTCAGAGTCTAGTAAATCTATTATTTCAGAGTCTAGTTGAGAACATAACGAGGCTTCATGATGAATTTCTATTGTCAAATGGTAGTGCCAATGTGAGTAAACTGTCAATGCTACCTCAGGAGGTCTATGCCGATTCAGATATACCAGAAAGGTTGCCGACACACCGAAACTTTAATCCGTAAGTATCGCTGTGACACCAATAGCTGTTTTAGTGTTTTGAAAATCTTGTTACACACAGTCTTACTCATATCTAAAATATATGACATGTATGAATAATTCCAGTCCATTTTGTTCCGATTTATAATAATCTGAATAAATGATTTTCTTTCATGGCCAAAATTTTCTATGTGTAAAATATTAAACAGTTGAACTAACATTGCTGTTAAAAGTTTTTGGTCATGAAAGTGTATACAAACAAATATAGTCCCTCCGCAAAATGTTTTTAAAAGTAAAGTAAATGGCAAGTGTTTTTAGCTCACCTGTCACAAAGTGACATGGTGAGCTATTGTGATTGCTTCTCGTCCGGCGTCCGTCCGTAAGCTTTTACTTTAAACGACATCTCCTCATAAACCGCTAAGCCAATTTCATCCAAACTTCATAGGAATTTTTATTTGGTAGTCAACTTTAAAAATTATTCAAAGAATTTAATTCCATGCAGAACTCTGGTTGTAATGGCAACCGAAAGAATAAACTTAAAAAAAATCTTTTTCCCTTTATGTATATAGTAAAAACTTTAAAAATCTTCTTTTAAAAAACCCAAAGAGCTAGAGCTAAGATATATAGCATAAAATATCTTCTAATGGGTGTCTACCAAGTTTGTTCAAATAAGGGCCCTTGGGTTAAAATTGGCCCTGCCTGGTGTTCATTGATTTTCCCTATATGCATATAGTAAATACTTAAAAAAGTAAATACTTAAAAAATCTTCTTTTAAAAAACCCAAAGAGCTAGAGTTTAGATACTAAGCATGAAGTATCTTCTAGTAAGAGTCTACCAAGTTTGAACAAATAAAAGCCCTGGGGTCAAAATTGGCAAGGCCATGGGGGGGGGGGGGTCATTGTTTATCCCTAGATGTGTATAGTTTAAACTTAAAAAATCTTCTCATAAAAGAGAGCTTAGATATTTATCGGGAAACATCTTCTAATGGGTGTCTACCAAGTTTGTTCAAATAAAAGCCCTTGGGTTAAAATTGGCCCCGCCCAGGGGGCCTTTATATAGGTGAGCCATTTCAGGGCCATCATGGCCCTCTTGTTTGTCAATAAAAACTCGCTCACATTAGATGCAGTAAAACTTGTCATTTATATGTTGAAAATTCTGAATATTTTTTTGAAATGTTTTAATATTGTCTGCATTTTCCAGTTCAATGATTTATGTCACATTTATAGCCCTTTTATGATCATTTTTTAAAAGTTTGTCAGGACTACTCTTCTTATACCACTTACACAATTTCAATGAAGCTTACAGGATTTAATTAGTTATGGCCCATTGAATGATATTTGTGTCTCCTGTTACACAGTTGCTGCAACGTGCAATTGGCTATCACGAGGCGACACATGTGATCATTGATTGCTCTTGTTTTTCAGTCTTTTTTCCTCTTTAAAGATTCCAAATACACCATATGACCTTCAAGGTGTTGATGTGACTAACAAAACCATCTATATAATAGCTATACATCATTGTTGTATAATTGTTTTATAATGATTACTAACCGTTGATAAAATAATGTCAGCTTAATGTTAAATGTATTTAAACTTTTATAGGAATCCATCTGATGCCCATGTAAACCAACCAGGTTTATGCTACGCAAAAAATGATATTTCACGAAAATCAAAAAATAAATAAGTTGTTAATTTAATTAAATTGTTTACTTGAACTTTAGGTAGTCAAACCCTTTTTCACTGCGTTTTAAAGGTACTGCCATGCTTATTCTCAGTACGAATCTATCAATCTACATTGTTGGCTTGAGTCTTTTCTTTTCCAATAAATTGTGGCCTATAAAAAGAAAGCAAATATGATAAATTTGTTTTGACCCCCCTTGCTTAATCTAGTTTTTTGTTTTTTTGTTTTTTTGCACTGGCAGGATTGCATGGCCATGAATATCACATGTTTCATGTGTTTTACATGCCATATACTGGGTATAAATTGTTTTCCTTCCTTAAAGTTTATTTAAGTTAAGGAAATGAAATATAATGGAAATTACTGTGTTAAAAATTCAAATTAAAAAAAGGTTTAAAAACTTTACAAGCAAAGTATAGAGAAAGCTAGAGATTTTGGTATAAGCAAATCTCATTATATTCTTATACATACATGTATAATGCTATATTTAATGCATGTACTTAACAGGCACAAATATAACCTGGCAGAAAGACTATCTGTATAATTTTAATAAATTTTGAGGGTGAGCAAGACTATTGTTGCAGAGGTATAACCATAATGTAATGGTTGAATATATTTTAATTAGAGGAGGAGTTAATAATTAAAGGGTTATTATAACTGTATCGTGATGTGGACATTCTACATGTATTTATTTGCCTCATATGGATTACACCTGAGCAGATCTCATTCATTTTTAGGGACCTCATGAGATCCTGGCTTAGTAAAATCAATATGGGGAACAAACTGTCCATTTGCACTGACATCTTAATGAGAGAACACATATTGGGTACTTCTTTTGTTTAAAAGTACCCAAGAAGTCCATAAAAGTACCAAACAATAATGACGGAATGAATAGAATTACCTGTTACCTATTGTTCTTGGTACCAAACAAGTATCCTCTCGTTCGACATGAATCTCACTGATCGTTCTTGTTTTAAAGATAAGGTGTATGAATATATAACAATTAATACATATTTGATGGAACAATTAAAGCAATGTAAAAAGCATGGAATGATAAATTGTTACAGATAATGAAAATGATGGTATTTTCATTAGGAATCTTATTGGTGTAATTGTATTTCAGACCATTCATTATGACTACCCATTCACCTTAAATCTGAACAAAATGTATAAATTGTATATTTAAGAATATGATGTGCTTTATTTTACTACTTTAATTTTTTATATACAAGATATTTCAAGCAGCAAGTAAGCTGGGATCAATCAACAGTAAAGATAGCAGACGAGGTACCCAGAGATGACATAAGCACAATAAATACGGTGCATTTCACTGCTAAACTTGACGCATTATTCAAGGAAAATCATGAAATTGATCCGACCCTGAGGTGAGCTATAAATGAATAAGCCAGATCAATAGACTCACTATTGAATTAAGAATATTTGGGTATTTCCCTACTACTCTGTAGGTACAAGCAAACTTTTATAGTTACCAGCTTCGAAAGTAAACTTAACAGGTTGACTGAATATCCATTGTGACAGGTAAGAGCACCGTGAAGCTGTAACGGTAAAAGTGACTTTAGCTGGGAATAACACACATTTGCCAAGTTTCAGATAACATCTATGTTATAATCTGCAAACTAATCTCTTTCATTCACTCCAGAAAGTCCATGTGATTCTTAGTGACCTTTATGACTCTTTTGAGATATTCGTTTAGGATTAATGTGTTTGTGTATGAATGTTTACCAATTAGATACTTTGTATTAACAAAATTTAAATGTTTAAACAGAAACGCTGGAGAAATTAGAGTCGTTAATTGGTATTCAAATTTTGTACTCTCTCCTCTATGAATGTATTGGTTTTATCACCACTTGTATTATTTGTATTTCTCCCTATTATAGTAATTTCTCCTTTCATTGCTGGCTTTCTTAATCAGCCAATGAATTATTGATGCGTAATTTTACAATAAATGAGATTGTTTACATAGTAAATAATTACTGCATTATTTATGATTGTTTGTGAAAATTTATAGAGTGCTTGTATTATAAAGATATTTCAATATGAAATGTAACATGACTATGTTTGTATATTCATATTGCTTTTTTTAACGTCTTAAGGTAATCTTACTTTAATGCTTTCCCGCTAAAAAGTTTCTAACATTGACCAATATCATAATAATTCAATCATTTCCGGCATGTTATTTTTCACAATCTTCGATATTCAATGATTTCTAACCGTTTATAACTGGAAATTAGTTCATAACGATAAAGGATGAGTGATTGTAAATAATCTAATGCACAAGATTTTGAAAAAATAACATTCCGGAAATAAATGATTTGCTAGGATATTGCCAGATGTTAGATATTTTGTCGGGAAATCATTACAGTAAGACTATGTTCAATCACCAAATTTATACAATAGACCAGTCCTGTTTTGATATTGGAACAGCCTATTTACTGGTAGAGGGATATCAAGATGAAAATCTAAAAAAATCCACATAAACCAAGGCTCAGGAGTGTAATACAATATAAATCCATTTAATGGAAAAAAAAAACGATATTACACTAGTGTAATAACACTTTGATGTGACATCATTTGCGTTATAATTCAAACACGTGTTAAACATGCTAACTAAGGGCATAACAACTGTTATGGCTTATCAACAGAAAAATGGCAACTCATTTAATTTTCTATATATTTAATGGATCAAAGCAGTTCACCTAGTTAAAGAAAACTTGATTATAATTTAAATCAGGGTGGTCAGGGCCTATAACTGGGGTGCACAGCTAGGTCTTTTCCTTCATTTTGTCTAACTCCAAGGAAATGAAAAACTTTATGTGATTCAAGTATGATATCATTATAACAAAAATGGATATAAAAATCAAATCCATGATTTTCTTACATATTACTCCAATCCACTCCTTAAGATTTGAACGTAACGCAATACATACATTCTGAACGATCCATTTGTAGAAGTTTCCATTGCTTCAAAGTACATTATTGATTATTTTTCATAGTTAAAAATATTAAAATTGAACACAGTTAATGGCAAAAGTTATTTTGGGTTTTAACCACTGGCCATGTTAAATGATGGAGGGGCATAATGTCATTTTAAATTTATGTGGTATGGTCTGATACATGTAAATTAGGCATTGTTACTAAAATACAAAAATGCTTCTTTAATTTAAAACAAATGTTTATTTACATATTTATATAATAACATTTTAAGATTGCTTTTAAAAGAAAAGATTGTCATGATTATCTGAAAGTGAACTACTGAATACTTTTCTTTTTTTTATTTTCATGAGAACATTCCACTCCTTTTTTTAACAGATGGCAGTATTTTGGATCTACAGCTGGTATAGTGCGTATATTTCCCGGGCGGGAATGGTCGACAAATTTTGCGGGTTTCTATAATGATTATGATCCAAGAGTCAGGCCTTGGTATATCGCAGCAACAAGTGGACCCAAAGATGTGATAATCATAATTGATTGCAGGTAAAAATGGCGTCCGAATACTCTATCTATTCTCTATATGTGTCTAAAGGGAGGTCACAGAATGTTTTAAGTTGACTGTAATTAGTTGTGGAACATACATACCAGTAAATTGTGGTAAACTGTGGCATGATGCCATTGAATCGCAACACTTGAATAATTTGATTAAAATGTATGGTCATTTATCTTGACTATATCAAGCACTCCAACCTTTATATGTACAAACATCTTCCTCCAACAGTAAAAGTTGGAAAGTCACCATATGACCTAAACTATGTTGGTGCGATATAAACCCAACTAAAAAAAAAAGAATAATAAAAGTAGATAAAGATTTAAAAAAGTAATATTTACTTAAACCTTTCTAATATGTTAAAAAGACAGTGTTATTGATTGTAAGGTTGATACTTTTACATTATCTATCATGAACAGATTCAATCTATTTTCATATAATACATGTATTTCATTTTCGTTGCTTACGAGGAATTGCCCCTTTTCCAGATTTTGTTCAAAGCGCTGATGAAGCAATGATTTATAAGAACTAAATCAATCCTCTATTGATTAATTTTCCAGCTATTCCATGAGAGGTGAGAAATTTAGTATCGCCAAAGGTGTTGCAAAAACAGTGATCAATACTTTGACAAAACAGGACTATGTGAATGTGATATGTGCTAGGGCAAGCTACTGGGATGAAGTTGGCAAGTAAGTGATGATCAAAATAAAAAGTGTTAACTTTACTTAGAATTAATAAAGTGTTGACGTTATATGAAATAGTACCTACTCTAATATGGGATAGCCACTAATTGGGAAGAAGCTGTAAGACAAAAACAAAATATATTAAAACTGAAAGTGACATTATGCCCATCCAAAAGTATATAGTGAGTAAACAGGTGAAAGTGAAAATAAGTTGGCATTTTGCCATTATTCCTTTCAATTTTATAATGTACTAAATAAATCACAAGGCCCAAGCAAGGCTCTGTAAATATCCATCAGAATTTACCTGTAACATTCAATTCATAAAAAGAGTGGGGTAGTTAGATTTATATTTTATCCTAAACATTCTGCAGTCAATCACCATTATAACAATACTGCTATTGAAATATGTGATCAATTCATCTCAACTTGATAATGAAAAAAATTAGCATTATGAAAAATTGTCACTTAATGTCACGGAATGACAGAACAGGGTAACACTATATGCCCCAGCCATTTTATGGCCGGGGCATATAGTGTTGCCCTGTTCTGTCATTCCGTCATCATCAGTTTCCGTTCATTATCTTAGTAACGGTTGCACACATTCAACTCAAATTTGATATATGGATATATCATGAGAAAATACATGTCAAGTTCGAATTTGGTCATGGTCCGATGATTTTTGACAGAGTTATGCCCCTTGATTAAATTTTCAGTTTCCGTTCATTATCTCCCCAACGGTATTACACATTGAACTCAAATTTTACATATGGATAAGGCAAAAAAATGCACAGGTCAAAGTCGAATTTGGTCTTGGTTTGATGAATTTTGGTAGAGTTATGCCCCTTTCACTTTGAAAAATATATGAAATTTTCAGTTTCCGTTCATTATCTCCTCAACGGTATTACACATTGAACTCAAATTTGAAATTTGGATACATCAAGGAATGCGCAGGACAAGTTCGAATTTGGTCTTGGTTTGATGAATTTTGGTAGAGTTATGCCCCTTTCACTTTGAAAAATATATGAAATTTTCAGTTTCCGTTCATTATCTCCCTAACGGTATTACACATTCAACTCAAATTTGATATATGGATACGTCAAAGGAATGAGCAGGTCAAGTTTGAATTTGTTCATGGTTCGATGAAATAGTTATGCCCCTTTCACTTTGAAAAAGAAGGAAATTCTCAGTTTCCTTTCATTACCTCCCTAACAGTTGTACATATTCAACTCAGATTTGACATATGGATATATCATAAGAATACACTAGTCAAGTTTGAATTTGGTCATTGTTTGATGATAGCTGACAGAGGTATCCCTCTTAAACTTTGAAAAAAATCAGAAATTTTTAGTTTCCGTTCATTATCTCCCCAATGGTTGTACATATTTAACTCAAATTTGACATATACATACATCTTAGGAATAAGCAGTTCAAGTTCAAATTTGGTCATGGTTTAATGATTTTGGACAAAGATATCTCTTTTGAATGTTGGAAAAATTTTGTGTTTTCAGTTTCAGCACTCATACTTTTGTAGAAATGTATGTAGTCATTATTTTGGCTACAAATATGCAATATGCAATTTACAAAAGGTTAACACTGAATAGTTTCAGTGCCTTGAACTTTGGATAAAAATGGTTTGTATTAACATTGAATAGTTTTAAGGGCTTTTAACTTAAAATGAAAAAAATAGTTAGTGCAAACAAATTTGGAACTAAATATTGTAACATCTGAAATTTTGGCTACAGGCGGGGGCATCTGTGGCGTGACGACACATTTCTAGTTAAAAATTCAAATGGCTTTATTTTTTTCAGTTGATTAAGTGATTTGTGTTTATTGTATTAAAGTTCTGAAATTTTTTGTTGCATTTTTAGTTCCACTTTTTGAAAAAGAGAGAGAGCTATTGTGCTCACCCATGCTTCAATGTCACCATCATACTTTGGTTAAGTTGGTATCTTCAAAATTCCTGAAAGGAATGGGTTGAAACTTCATACATTTACTAGTATTTGAGAGCATAAGAGGTGGTCACTTTCCAAAGCAAATAGCTCCAACATGGATTTTGACATAGTAATAGCTGTTTTTATGCCCCCACAGAGTGGGAGCATATAGCGTTGCACTTGTCCGTCCGTCACGCCGTCCGTCTGTCCGTCCGTCCCGAAATCTTGTGAACGCAACTCCTTTTAAACCGGATGGCAGATTTCGCTTAAACTTTCAGAGATGAACAACCTTAATATGTAGATAGTAGTAAAGGAAGGAATTTTCGCTGGGACCAAATTTAACAGAATTATGGCCCTTTGTTAATTTTTTCACTATATACTATGTAGAAATTTTGTGATAGCAACTCCTCTTTAACCAGATGGTAGATTTTGCTTAAACTTCCAGGGATGAACAACCTTTATGTGTAGATGGTAGTTAAGGAAGGAATTTTCGCTGCGACCAAATTTAACAGAATTATGGCCCTTTGTTGATTTTTTCACTATATAATATGTAGAAATTTTGTGAACGCAACTCCTCTTAAACCAGATGGTAGATTTTGCTTAAACTTCCAGGGATGAACAACCTTAATGTGTAGATGGTAGTAAAGGAAGGAATTTTTGCTGCAACCAAATTTAACAGAATTATGGCCCTTTGTTGATTTTTTCACTATATACCATATATATGTCGTCAGTGGGGGCATCCCTGTCCTTTGGACACAGTTCTAGTTGAATTCTACATTATGCAAGCTTTTGTTTTGAATCAATCCCTGAGAATAGTTGAGCACACTGTCCTACTGACAGCTCTTGTTTTGAAGACATTTGTATTGAAGTTCTGAATTTGTTTTGCATTTTTCAGGTGGCATTTCTATGAGACAACAGTACTGAGCTGCCACTCAGAGAGAATGGTACCAGCTACTATTGCACACAGGAAAGACCTTATAAAAAATGTGGAGAATTTACGTCCAGGGGGAACCAGTGAACTTGAGTATGAGACCTTTAATGTCAGACTTTATTTTATAAGATTATAGTTTAACAGAGCATAACAAGCTCAAAGTGAGCTATTGTGATCAATCTATGTCAGATGTATGTTTACATTTTTCCTTAAACAGCACGTTCTTCTTAACCACTTGGCAAATGTATACAAAAGAAATGCTTTTAAATGTTGTTCAAACAATTCTATTTCAATCAGAACTCTGGGTTGCTATGCAACATAAATGAAAATATTTTAATACATGTATTTGAAAGCAGTAGAATTTTTCGGAAAATTTTATTGATAAAAAAAATTACATAGACTTGCTGTTTTGATTTAATTTATAGCCTTCTTTGAATGTTTATCAACTGAATAAAGCAATGCAGCTAAAAATCAGAATATTGTCCAAGATGAATAAGATTTGAATATACATTTTGTGATAAAAGCATAAATTTTGTTGGTATCATGTCTGCAGTTTAAAATGAACACCTCCATACATGTATGTACAAAAGAAGTATTTGAAAAAATTAAATTTAAAAAGGAATATACATAGATTAAGAATTCTATAAATGTGAACAATCCATGTGAAAGTTTTAGTGTATTATTCAAAATTAAGTTAAAGGTGTAATTTATGTGGCGTGAGCTTGCTTGCATCATTTAATATGTATATTTGACTGTGATACAGTAATACTGATATTACATTTTGTAACTCATTTCATGTCTACAGAGTTGTTGTTTGTAATCTATTTGTGCTAATACTTCAGGAGTGGATTTGAGAAAGCATTTAGTTTGTTGAATAGCAATCCACGAACAGGTTGTCAGTCTGTGATAATCTTCGCCACAGATGGGAAAGACACGGATGGGGAAAATGTTAGATGTGGCCCAGGTAAAATATTTGTGATTATTTTTATGGCACACAATGTGTTTAAAGGTATACAAGCTAGCCGTAGATTGTAGAGTTATAAATATTTTTGTATTTGATATGTAGAAGTATATTGTATTTGATATCTTGCTTATATTCATTGCAATTTTGACATATCTTCATGCCTGTAGTTAGTTTGGACATATTTAGCCTCTCGCCCCTAATAACTGAGGGTTTGAATCCTTCCAGGGATGCTTACATGTGCATAAACTACCCAGCTAGTTTACGGAATGCCGATGGCTTTACTCAGGTGCCTATTTGTACCTGAAATAATGCAAGGAGGGGCACAGTGAGGTCTTCCAAAGCTGAAAAATTGCCAGTTATTTGAAAACCCAAGATCACCAGAAAGGAAAGCATAAGAGTTTTCCACAGATATTTTAGTTTGAATCCTGGACAAAGTTCATTTTTTTTGTGTACCTTATAGTGAAATTTAATGGAAAAGTGCATAGTCAATACAATGTTACAAGAACAATAATTATATTACTATAATTAAATATCCTGTATGTTGTAATTGAGGTTGTATACCACACTTTAGTGAAATTATGTATATGTATATAATTATGCTTATAAAACAATTTTCAAACATTGAAGAATATGTAACATATGTACTGCAAATATTTGTACATATTATACTGTGCTCCTCTTAGTTCACGGAACTTAACCCTTTGAAGCAAGAAAGAAAACAACACATCAAAATTGTCATAAGCTGTAACCTATAGGTATTTTCGACTGTTTGACACAAGGAAACAACAATATATTTAGTCAAAATTAGTTTAAATGAGCCAGACGTAGACCATATGTCAGCCATTTTGAAAACAGTATGTCATCATTTAAATCGCGGTAATGGGTGTTTTATTTAATTTTTTTCATGTCTCAGTTAAAATTTCTGCATGTCATTTGCATAATTTTAATTATTAAAAGTATCTTTACTTTGTAACTCAAAACTTATTTTTTCAACAAACAAGAACATTTTGAAAATGATGATTGTTTCAGATCTATGCACAAATTTAACGGACTATTGTTGCCTTTTGCTGAAGTTTGTAAAATGTTGTTCTGTTTTACGTAAAAATCTATAGATTTAAAATATTTTGCACAAAAACTTTGTTGTTTAGGTTTTTGAATAAAATATGTCAATTGTGACCAATTTTAACACTGGTCACATAAAAATATGCCATTACTGTGAAATAAGTGATGATGAGGAATTAGTGATGTTGAGTATAATAAATGTATAAATTAAAATATTTGCATTCATTTCTTACTGGAAAAATTTGACTTAGACTTTATAGAAAATAAATTTTTTATTACCTCCCTTTATTTACATGAAATGTCAAGTTCCGTAATATCTTTATAAATAATGCTTTTTGGTACTTAAAAAATTGATAAATCTTAATTTGAGCATCATATTTATGATATAAAACCATAAAAAAATTGTGTTACAGGATGTTTTGCATTTTTTTACCTTATTAGTGATTCCAAGAATATTTTGATGAATACACTAGGATGTTCTTTTGTATGACAGGCACGTCCGTGACCGAGTGGTTAAGGTTGTTGACTTCAAATCACTTGCCCCTCACAGCTGTGGGTTCAAATCTTGCCAGGGACTTTGAATTATTTCATGTGAGGAAGCTATCCAGCCAGCTTTAAGAACGCTAAGATTGTCTGATTGGACAAGGCGATTATAAAATGTAGCCCTAAATTTCCAGTAATTGACTATTGTCCTGTTCATACTATGTCCCGAAAGTGTTTAGATAACAAGAATTTTATGATTACATATTATTTTATTATTGAAGATTTTTTTTTATATTTGATTAAAGGTTACTACACAAGGAGTGGGTATGTACCTGGCCCTGTATGTAAATATAACTGGACAAAAGTATGGTCAGTGGCAGATGGTAAAAATTCCTACACCAGTCCTCATGTATGTTATTTCTTGAAATAATAATAATAAAGACTTTATTTAAAGAGGCAACATAGTTGGGCATGCCCAGTCTTCCCTATGAGCCTCTATCAAATATACAATGTACATGTACATAATATAAACATTTACAAACAAAAGGTATGATAAACAACAACAAAATTACAAATACAATATAGTTAAGAAACATGTAAAATGAAAATCTAGGGAAAAAACATTATATAAGAATATAATAATTGCAATTCAGATATACATTTATCATTTTATAATACAACTTCATGTGTTTTATTTCCACCAGAGAACCACCATTTAAGATAATTATTTTTGAACGACTGTAAATTTGTGGAATTTCTGATATCTAAGGGATTGTATATATATATATATGATAAAGATAAAGAATTTATATGCTCTAAGTATAAATGTTATAGTGTAAGACATTAGTGTTTCTGTAACTTGACTTGACATGGATGCTGCCATCATATGTAATGTTGACTTTTGTGTTAGCTAAACAGTCAAATGTGTATTAGGCGCAAATTAAGGGAAACACCAAAAATGGCCGCCAAATGAAACAGTCTCTTAAGACACAGAAAAAAATCAAAATTTATACATGACATCTTTCCTTTGCAGTGGGGAAGTTTTTCAACTTCATTTATATAAATGTATATATAAAATAACTATAATGCTCCGACAATCTAAATTGATGCTAAAATGAAAAAAAGTAACGTTCTGATATTTATTGACAAAACAGTCAAGAGTCGCTTAATTCACATGGTCGCATGGGCAAGTTATACTGTTACATGTCTGTCATCAGCTAAAAAGGGGGCAACTTTGACTGAGTGATTATGGTCATTAAGTTAATTTTGAACCACTTGCCCCTCACCACTGTAGGTTTAAAATACCTCTAGGGATTTTGGAGAATTTACGTAAGGAAGCTATCCAGCTAACTAACACAGTGAAGGTGGTTCTACTCAGGTGCCCACTTCAAGCTTGTTGCCTGGTATAATGCATACTTTTTACAGGTTTTCATGTATTCAGATGAGCAATACAGGCCCACCAGGGCCTCTTGCAATACAAAACACTGGTTTATTGCTGACAAAGGAAAAGTTAAAGATCATATCAGCAAGATTACTGATTAAAACATAATTCTATACATGTACATTTTAAATTTGCCCCTTGTGGCTGAGGAGTAGTCTTTAAGAGTTGTTCTCAAAAGTACAGCCACCCTTCGTGATTGATCATTGTAAGAGGTGACTTAATAGGTTTACTTGAGTCTATTCATCTCTCAGATTCAGTGAATTAGGTGGTTTTAAACCCTGGTGTTGCTTTAAAGTTTGTTACACCAGATGTTAGCCAAAGTCTTCTTTCCTGTTTCAGTGCCTTATGAACTATACTGTTTTGGTGCACTGTAAAACAAAACAAGCAAATAACGCACTTACATTTTATTTTTTTTTTGGTTTGAAAAAGCTCACAATTTACATTCCTTTAATACGAATAACAAGATTTTTATAAAGTGACAGATTTTAGTAAACGATTGTACCTTAAAAGCTTGTTTTTGCTCTCACTTTTCCAGGCACGGGTTTTTAGCTACCTAATCAAAGAAGATGCAGAGATGTTTCCAGGGAAACTAGCCTGTAGTCATGGAGGAAGTATGCTCAAATTGACCACTGGTGAAAACTTAATCTCTCAGATGAGCAACTATTTTGAATTTCTCTCATCAAATGCAAAAACAACGAAGGCTTTGTGGACATCACCGTACCTTGATGCCTGGGGTTTAGGAATCATGGTCACTCACGCTATCCCTGTTATTAGTAAAGTTACTAAAAGGTTTGTATGCTTGCGTTTTTATGCCCCCAGTCATATAGTAATTGAACCGTCTGTCCGTCTGTCTATACGAGGTTAACCTAGAACAGCAAGTTGGATTTTTCTTAAGTTATACCTGTACCAATGGCTTCATAATTTACACTTACTAATCCATACAAAGTATATGATCTGGGCAAGTTACATAACTATGGCTTCCATTTGCACCAAGTTATGGCCCTTTTCAGCGCTTAGAAAATGAATAATGGTTGACCTAAACCGGCAAGTTGGAAATATGTTATGTTCTATCTGAACTAATGGCTTAATAATTTTCACACTTACTTATCAATACAATGTACATGATATTGCCAAGTTATATAAATGTGCCATCCATTTTCCCAGTAATTTCCCTTTTTATCACTCTTGTATGGTTAACCTATTCCGCCAAGTTGGATTTATCAAAAATATTTCACCTAATTACTTAATTTATTTAATGATATCTTTCTAATTACTTAATTTATTTAATGATATCGTTCATATTTGGTAAGTGGATACCTCTAACGGTCCTTTAATTTTTTGTGGCGTTAGGCGTCTCTAGGTCAAGGTCAAGGTCACTTGTGTAAAAAAATAAGTCTAAACATTTCTGCTCATACAGCCTTTATTTTTAAGTTAATGTCTTTCATGTTTATAATAGTCATACCAAGGGAGGTCCTCTTCCTTTTCCTTTAGTAAGGGATCATTTGGGTCAAGGTCACCAATGTCTTTATATATTGACAGATTTATTTCATATTTGGTTGGAAAATATGTTGCATGATATTCTTCCTTTGGGTGGAGTTAGGGGTCAGTTTGGTCAAGGTCACCAGTGCTAAAAATAGATTTTTTACACTTTTGCCCATACAGCCTTTATTTATTGACAGATTTATTTCATATTTGGTAGGAAAATAACTTGCATGATATTCTTCCTTTTGATAGAGGTAGGGGTCAGTTGGTCAAGGTCAAGGGTGCCAATTACAGATTTCTACACATGATTGGTTTTCTTCCATACAAATTAGCTACTTCACTCTCTAAAGTTAAATTATTGACAACAGTGAGCGCGGGAGCATTTGTGTTTATCAAACACAGATTCTTGTTTTTTTTAATCTTTTCCATGCCAAATTCTTTGAATGAACTTGTCTATCATTCAATCTGGACTAAATCATTTATAATTTTTTTGGGATTATTTCAAGATATATACTGACTGAAAAGTGAACTTAGCTGACCATGGTCAGACGGTACAATGCATGGGTATATTCAGCTGGCACTTCTGTTTCTCCTATGGTCTGCTCTGTCACTATTCAGTCAGTCCTTTTTGCAATGTTCCCTTAAAGTGATGAGTGGTTTTGTCCAGAGTTAAAGATGAGTAAGCCCAACTGAAATATTTAGAAATGTAAAAGTTAATTATTGTGTCACTTAGCTCTAAATTTGGAACAGTCCAAAGGAAAATGGCAGCATGGCCAGGTGGGTAAGGTGTTGGTCTAGTTATTTATGGATTGCTGGCTGCGTGGGTTCAAACCTATCAGGGCCAAGCTGTTGTTTCCATGAGCAAGAAACTTAACACTAATTGCTTAGTATTGGTTGGTTGAAGGAAAGGATTTAAGAGTGTTTCTATTATCATATAGCTTTCAAGCACCAAACTAAGATAAATAAATGTATACATTAAAAGGGATTAATTCTCAAAATAAAAATTGAACTACCAAGAAGATAGAGCCTGGTCAGACTGAACATCAGCGCAGGCTGACTTGGCAAAGGCTTAGCACTGTTTCAGCAGCTTAGGGATTTGTAATGCAAGTTTTATTTCAATCTTGTATAAAATGCTTGTATAAAATACTGAACATTATTCAATTTCTGCAATTTCAAAATGTGTTGTGTAACAACAACTGCCCTCTTCCTTGGAGTCTTAGTGAATCATAATAAACAGAAATGTTATGTGACATTTCCTGTGCGTCATTAACAGAATTGTATAAGGTATGTTATTTAGAATTTAACAGTTTACTTCTATCCATATAATAAATATTAGCAGTACATGTTTCTTGGGAATTTACTCATAGGTTATTTTATCAGTACAAAATGAGCGTGGTTAAAAAGTGAAAAAATATCCTGTTAAGTTGTCATAGATTTTTGCCATATGTATAATGATTCAACTTTTTAGCAACTATGAATGTATGATGTCATCAATGTTCAATTTTAGGAATCTAAAAATGAGTCAACTAGAAAACATATTTATATTATATCTATGAATCACATGTTGAGAAATACTGATGAAATAAAAACCAAATTTTCATTGTCCGTATTTTCAATGTAAAAATTTATTTTTCACTGCAGTGAAAGGTATTTTCTGTATTTTCACTGGTGTCTTGCCAGACTACTTTCTTTTAGATTTAGCGAATACACAAAATAAAAGGGGTGGTCTTTTTAATCATCTTGTGGTAAAGAAATTATCATATTTCACTTGTGTATACTGTCACTCGTGACATATTTATTTTCATACCACTTGATGAAAATAAATCCTGTATTTATAGAAAAAAATTGTATATTCCCTATATTTTCTTGCATGATCAAAAGTTTAAAACCAGAAAGAAGGGTTGACAGGGCAAATTTTATAGTGTTAAACTATTGTAAGTTAAGATAGAATAGGGTAGCAAAGTTAAAACACAGGAATAAGAGTCCTTTTCTAGTGCAATAATGGGCTCAATTAATATACAGTCCAACAACAATTACTGGGGACTGAAAATTTGCTTTATATATTCGATGGGTTCAAATAATCGAAATCTAAAATAGTGATAGACGCAACTACTCAACTTTTACCAAACGCCAATTATAGCAAAAGTACCGTTTATAAAACAATTCTTTCAAGTAATCAATAGAGAAAAATAAATAAACAACAAAAGATGTGTAAAAAATAAAACTTTATTGATGTTGAAGACATAAATAATTGTATTTTATTCCATATTATGTAGCACATATACAGTAGTGTATATATGGAAAATATGATACTGCTGTCATCTTCAAGTATTTAAAGTAACAGAATCTGACACAGTGTATAATTTTAATCGAGCAATATTAGGATGTCTTGCGATAGTGTAAAAATAATGCACTGATTCTTTATTGAGATAGAAAAAAAAAATTCTCAGTTTTTGTATACTGTGAATTACAAGGTAGTGTTTGCTTATTTTTAGTCTAAAATTACCCATAAGATTATTAAATTGAGCTCTTTTTACCATAGAATTATTTAAAAAAAACACTCACATACCAGAAATTGTTGGTAATTAAAGAATATGAAAAGTGTTCTGTATTAATTTAAAAATGGGACAGCCCATCTACTTCGATAATGCTGGGTATTAGAATAAAGGATTGCTGAATAAATGGGTTGGACTGTATAGGTAATAAAATGCAAATAAAAACTTTTCTTGGAAAAAATCAAGGAACAATTTTTTCTTAGTATGATTATAGTAATATTTGAGAAAATAGGTGAAGAAAAATGATCCAAAAATAAGAATTATTATATGTCATTTTTATTACATTAATAAAAAAATAAGGTAAAACTAAAATGTAAGTTAGTACAGTTCTTCATGAAGATCCATTACAAATAAAAGTGAATTTTCACTAATTTTTCAAATAACCTCGACATTGTTTTTGTCTCAGTACAAGAAAGTGTGAATTTTACACATCAAATTTGGCAAAAAACTTAAACAATCTTTTTATCCCAGTCTTGAAAACAGTAAATTTAAATTAAAGATTTATCAAATAAGGTAAACAATATTTTTGCCCTGATCCAAAAAAACAGTGACTTTATATCAGATTGCGCAAGTTACCAACATTTTTGTCCCAGTCCAAAAACAGATTTGGCATGTGGCTTTCACAATGCTTGTACAAAGATTAAGAGCAAGGACCCAATTAGTGATTTATTTATTCTCCATATTCATGCATAAAGGTAGCAGATTCCATCAGAGTAACTTTGCTTTCTTACACTGAAATGACATAAATGGCCCAAACAGGACAATGTAATATAGTGGAGCCTTGCTAATTATCCGAACAAAATGTCTGGTCCCAATTTTATTCATTTTATTTTTGTTTTGTAAAATATTAAAAATAGAGCAAATAAAATTGGGACTGGATATTTTGCTCGGATTTATAATGTAGGATTCAGATTAGCAAGGCTCCACTGTGAATAATCTTAGAAACTTTTTTTTTAATTACCGTTCAGTTTGTGTTATTCTCCTTTATATAATATTTAAATATAGTTTTCCACATGGTAATGTCATCTGTTACGCAATCTAGTTTCAACATTCACGTCATTGTCACGTATTTGATAATTTACAATCCCTTTACATGAATATTTTTAGATATGATACAAATTATGCATTATCTGATCCAAGAGACGTCATGTGTAACCTTTAAATGTTAACTTCTGAACTCATTCTGTTTTCTACTTTAGTTTTTAACCTTAAAATATCTAAATCTGTGTGATGGATTTGCCCTTCTTTGAGATAGGAACAGCCCATTCAAAATTTTAGGGATTTCAGTATATAGATTATGTAACAAAAATTGAATTACAAGCAGTAAAGGGTCTGGTCCGAGTGCAATGGCAAACAGGCTTAGGCCTGGCTCAATACTGGTTACAAAGGCTTATCACATTAAAATTTTGTTTCCAAGAAGTTAAAGGATAAATGACAGGAAGTTAAGGGTTAAATGACAGGAAGTTAATGGTTAAATGGTAAACATGTGGATACCTTTTTTGTGTTGTATAGTAGCATCATATGGGGATTACTTTAATGTTATCTGTTTGTCTGTCCGTCAGCCACAAAACTTTTGCCCTGTAAATGATTTTTGTGTCTTCTGCCATGCAATTGGCTATCATTAGGTGACACATGTGATCACTGATCACTCTTGTTTGACTGTTACTTAAACCCTCTTTTTTTAAAATGATTTTTTTTTCAGAACTATAGGAGTTGTGGGCATAGATGCTACATTAGATAAGATAGAGAATTTTCTCACGAAACATCAGTGGGGAACTGTCTACTCATTCCTGATCAACAACCAGGGAGAGACCATATTTCACCCAAAACTGAAACCTAGTACAAATGTAAGCATATTTTTATTTTTGATAGCAAGCATTCATGGATGTATTTGCGCCTACAAGCATTGTTTAAATGATTTTTTGTTTCAACAGTCAACATGCAAGCTGAAAGTAAGAATGGTCCTTTATCATAACCATCTACACAGTATTTTGGCTGACCGGAATACAACATGCTCAAGGTGACCAAATATTAGAATTGGCCAACCAACATCTAATAAGCTATGTAGGGTTATTTACGATCCTCTTGATTTGTAAACAAGCTTTGAGTTTGTTTTTTTGAAAGTACAGAGGTCTTTCTTGGCTAAGTGGTTAATTTAGCTGACTTCAAATAACTTAAAAATCTGGCAGAATGTGATCCCTTGGAAACATAAATCACAACAAAATTCAAGAAAATTGCAGACTTGGTTATATTGTGTCTATACATGAGGGATAATGAAAAGGTGCAACATCCCTCATGCCCCCCTAGCACCAGCTTGAGCGGTATTCAATTTTCAACACTTAAAATTTTTGGAATTAAAATTTTTGAAATCATTGATCCTGATGTACCAGAAAATAATGTACAACAACACTGAAGTGTAGTATGAGGCAACTTTTTACAGCTGCCACACGGCACTTTATACTTGCTGTGGTTTTGTATCCCGTCAAGAACTTAGTTTCCTTCATGTGGAGAAGCTCAGGTACCTGCCCATGCCTGAAATAATACATGAATGATTAGCTTAGACGTCCCTCCATCAATAAAACTGATGATTTACCATCCAACCATTACAAGAGTCGGTGTGACTTAAAACTTGACAAAATAAACCATACAAATCATTAGTTTTATGTACATATTTCTATGAAATGTAAAGATATTATTTATCAAACATCTATGATTTACAGTTATTAGAGGACCCTATATTTATCCCTATACAACAATTAGAGAAGAACACCGAGACAAACAAGCCAGAAGAGTTTTCCGAGATTGAACGCAACATGAAACTCGGCAAAGAAGGCTCTCTTAGAATTGAAAAAGCCAAAGATGGCAAACCTAGGGTATGTACAGACAATAATTACAAATCGACACCTTAGTGCAATAACTGGTTAACTCCTATTAAAGAACTTAACCTGTTACTGGACTGATGTGACAAAATTTTGGATATGTATATTTTCATTATGCATTATTAAAGGTTTTTCATTAGAGATAACTAGAAAGATAATTTCACTGTAGTCAAACAATGTTTGTAAGTGCCAAAAAAAAACAGCATATAAAAATAGCATATTAGACTATTTTGTATCTAAATAGAAATTTAAGTTGAAAATCTAAGTAAACATTGCATTCTTTAACCCATCACCTTCTGAAATTGAAAGTGATTAGCCTTTGTCACCAGTATAGAGTCCCAAGACCAGGTTTTATACTGTTGGTAGCTCAGGTTTTATATTTTGATATGAAAATCCCTCCAAACTTCAAATGAACTATTCCAATTTCAAAGCAGGGCAAATCCATTAAAGAAATTCTGCAGGTTCATGCGAAATTATCTCTATCAAGTGAATTCTTATTCCATTGCAGACATTCTACTATGCAGGACTGAACAACTCAGAATATTCATTTGCCTACAGTATTGCTGATACAGATATGGTATAGTTCTATATTATTTTATCTGTTTTATATTATCTGTGATCTTGTTTTATGCATTTTACTAACAAATACTGACTGTATCTCCTATCCTCATTTGGGCCTTTTGAATGAGAAGCCTTGTTGAGATTTTAGCCAGAATTAAGAATATATAAATAGTATGTTAATTTCATTGGTTTCTTTGCATAGAATCAGTATTAATAATAAATGCCTTTCATACATGTACTTTAAACACAGTAATGTCACAAAGTATGTACTAATTCTGCTGTAGGTACATGTTTTCTGTCTTTAGTTATATAAATGTTGGTATTTAAATATTATTAACATACTTTCAGAATGACATCATTGAATTAACACAAAAATGTAAAACTATCAAAGTATTAGCATGATATTATTTCCATTTTGTTCTTGGTAAAGTGCAGTATAAAAGAAGAATATTATACAACATTTTAGACCTCATAACATTTAAGTGACCTTCCAGTAAAGGCACTGAGTACATTCAATGTTTGAGGCATACTTATCTGTCACTTTAATACTGAGAGGGCTTTAGTTCTGTGTACTTTCTTTTTAACAGTGAATGATTCTTTAATCCAGGGGCCTCCATGGCAGAAAAATTTACAAATGTAAGTCACTTAACATCTGTGGGTTTGAATCTTATCACAGACTTTAATTTTGTTATACAGTCGAGACTGCCTTAGCAACCCCCTGATTTCAACGACTCCCTGTATTATCTGACCTTGTTTCAGTGCTCCCAACATATTTTCATATATAAATGGTCTGAATTATACAACTCACTGTCATATGTGACATGCGACCCTAATTGTCTGGTCTCAATGCATTTCTTTGTCTAATTTAAACGACTTTCACACCTTTTAATTGTCCGTTAATCAGATAAATATTACCTGTTTTAACACCCAGAGGGGCAAAATAATTTAGTCCAATTATAATCCAGTAGTCAGTACTCTTCAAACAAACTCTACACTCCTCTGCCTCAGTTACACAGATTACATATATACAGGTATCAAGTGACGTAGCGATACTCCCTACTGCCAAATATGGTAAGCATGATGCAATCGATGTGTGTTAAAAATTTGAGGTGTATTGACCTGAGTAAACTGGATTAAGACTTTTTTAGCTCACCTGTCACAAAGTGACAGGGTGAGCTTTTGTGATCACTTTTCGTCCGGCGTCCGTCCGTCGTCCGTCCGTCGTCTGTCGTCCGTCCGTCGTCCGTAAACTTTTACTTTAAATGACATCTTCTCATAAACCACTAAGCCAATTTCAACCAAACTTCACAGGAATGTTCCTATGGTGGTCACCTTTGAAAATTGTTCAAAGAATTTAATTCCATGCAGAACTCTGGTTGCCATGGCAACCAAAAGAAAAAACTTTAAATATCTTCTTCTAAAAAACCCAAAGAGCTAGAGCTTAGATATTTGGCATGAAACATCTTCTAGTGAGTGTCTACCAAGTTTGTTCAAATAAAAGCCCTGGGGTCAAAATTGGCCCCGCCCCAGGGGGTCATTGATTTTCCCTATATGTATATAGTAAAAACTTATAAAATCTTCTTTTAAAGAACCCAAAGAGCTAGAGCTAAGATATTTAGCATGAAACATCCTCTAATGGGTGTCTACCAAGTTTGTTCAAATAAAAGCCCTGGGGTCAAAATTGGCCCCGCCCCAGGGGGTCATTGATTTTCCCTATATGTATATAGTAAAAACTTATAAAATCTTCTTTTAAAGAACCAAAAGAGCTAGAGCTAAGATAAATAGCATGAAACATCCTCTAATGGGTGTTTACCAAGTTTGTTCAAATAAAAGCCCTGGGGTCAAAATTGGCCCCGCCCCAGGGGGTCATTGATTTTCCCTATATGCATATAGTAAAAACTTAAAAAAATCTTCTTTTAAAGAACCCAAAGAGCTAGAGCTTAGATATTTAGCATGGAACATGTTCTAATGGATGTCTACTAAGTTTGTTTAAATAAAAGCCCTGGGGTCAAAATTGGCCCCGCCCCGGGGGTCACTGATTTTCCTTATATGTGTATAGCAAAAACTTAAAAAGTCTTCTTTGAAAAAAAACAAATAGCTAGAGTTTAGATACTAAGCATGAAACATCTTCTAGTGAATGTCTACCAAGTTTGTTCTTATAAAAGCCCTGGGGTTAAAATTGGTCCCGCCTCGGGGGTCATTTATTTTCCTTATATGTGTATAACAAAAACTTAAAAAATCTTCTTTAAAAAAACTCAAATAGCTAGAGTTTAGATATTAAGCATGAAGCATCTTCTAGTGAGTGTCTACAAAGTTTGTTCAAATGAAAGCCCTTGGGTCAAAATTGGCCCGCCCCGGGGGACATTCATTTTCCTTATATGTGTATAGCAAAAACTTAAAAATCTTCTTTGAAAAAACCCGAATAGCTAGAGTTTAGATATTAAGCATGAAACATTTTCTAGTAAGTGTCTACAAAGATTGTTCAAATAAAAGCCCTTGGGTCAAAACTGGCCCTGCCCCAGGTGTGTCATTGTTTTTAACTATATGTGTAAAGAAAAAACTTGACCAGCTAGACCTTAGATGTTTAGCATGAAGCATCTTCTAATGGGTGTCTACCAAGTTTGTTCAAATAAAAGCCCTGGGATTTAAACTGGCCCCGCTCCGGGGGCCTATATACAGGTGAGCGACTTCAGGGCCATCATGGCCCTCTTGTTTTAAATTATGGAGTGCCAACAGAAGATTTTTTTAGGCAGCATTTTTTTTAGCTCACCTGTCACAAAGTGACAGGGTGAACTTTTGTGATCGCTTTTCGTCCGGCGTCCGTCCGGGGTCCGTCCGTAAACTTTTACTTTAAATGACATCTCCTCATAAACCACTAAGCCAATTTCATCCAAACTTCACAGGAATGTTCCTTTGGTGGTCACCTTTAAAAATTGTTCAAAGAATTTAATTCCATGCAGAACTCTGGTTGCCATGGCAACCAAAAGAAAAAACTTTAAATATCTTCTTTTAAAAAACCATAAGAGCTAGAGCTTAGATATTTGGCATGAAACATCTTCTAGTGAGTGCCTACCAAGTTTGTTCAAATAAAAGCCCTGGGGTCAAAATTGGCCCCGCCCCGGGGGGTCATTGATTTTCCCTATATGCATATAGTAAAAACTTAAAAAATCTTCTTTTAAATAACTCAAAGAGCTATGGCTAAGATATTTAGCATGAAACATGTTCTAATGGGTGTCTACCAAGTTTGTTCAAATAAAAGCCCTTGGGTCAAAATTGGCACCGAACCGGGGGTCATTGATTTTCCTTATATGCGTATAGCAAAAACTTAAAAAATCTTCTTTGAAAAAACCCAAATAGCTAGAGTTAAGATATTAAGCATGAAACATCTTTTAGTGAGTGTCTACAAAGTTTGTTCAAATAAAAGCCCGGGGGTCAAAATTGGCCCCGCCCCAGGGGGTCATTGATTTTCCCTATATGCATATACAATGTAGTAAAAACTTAAAAAATCTTCTTTTAAAGAACCAAAAGAGTTAGAGCTAAGATATTTAGCATGAAACATGTTCTAATAAGTGTTTACCAAGTTTGTTCAAATAAAAGCCCTGGGGTCAAAATTGGCCCCGCCCCGGGGGGTCATTGATTTTCCCTATATGCATATACAATGTAGTAAAAACTTAAAAAATCTTCTTTTAAAGAACCAAAAGAGTTAGAGCTAAGATATTTAGCATGAAACATGTTCTAATAAGTGTTTACCAAGTTTGTTCAAATAAAAGCCCTGGGGTCAAAATTGGCCCCGCCCCGGGGGGTCATTGATTTTCCCTATATGCATATAGTAAAAACTTAAAAAATCTTCTTTTAAAGAACTCAAAGAGCTATGGCTAAGATATTTAGCATCAAACATGTTCTAATAGGTGTCTACCAAGTTTGTTCAAATAAAAGCCCTGGGGTCAAAATTGGCACCGACCCAGGGGGTCATTGATTTTCCTTATATGTGTATAGCAAAAACTTAAAAAACCTTCTTTGAAAAAACCCAAATAGCTAGAGTTAAGATATTAAGCATGAAACATCTTTTAGTGAGTGTCTACAAAGTTTGTTCAAATAAAAGACCTGGGGTCAAAATTGGCCCCGCCCCGGGGGTCATTGATTTTCTTTTTATGTGTATAGCAAAAACTTTAAATCTTCTTTGAAAAAACCCAAATAGCTAGAGTTTAGATATTAAGCATGAAACATCTTCTAGTAAGTGTCTACAAAGTTTGTTCAAATAAAAGCCCTGGCCCGGCCCCAGGGGTGTCATTGTTTTTAACTATATGTGTATAGTAAAAACTTTAAAAAAATCTTCTTTTAAAAAGCCCAATGAGCTAGAGCTTAGATGTTTAGCATGAAACATCTTCTTATGGGTGTCTACCAAGTTTGTGCAAATAAAAGCCCTTGGGTTAAATTGGCCCTGCAACGTTGGGGGTGGGGGTTGGGGGGGCCTATATACAGGTGAGCGACCTCAGGGCCATCATGGCCCTCTTGTTATTTTATTTTTTTTAATTTACCTTTCTATGGCTGCATGAATAATACGGAAAAATGTTGATACCAGACCAGAAAAACCTTTGGATATGGATATGTTTTTAAAAGTATGATATTTGTTTAAAGGATTTGAATGCATCAAATTCAAGTTTTTTTGTATAAATCTAATATAATAATAAAATAAAATTTTATATGATATACATGCGATTATATTTGTTTTACAGGGATTCTTATTTTATTTACATCAAATATTTAAAGTACCTATGTTTATTTGCAATTGGTTAGATATTATTCCATCACACACAGTCTATGTATGTTAAGTCACAATGGTATATACACAGATACTGTAGATGGTATTTTAATTTTCTATGAGACTGTATTAAGAGACTCCCTGTCATATGTGACCTTTTTCTGAAGGTCCCTAGGAAAGTCACATATGACAGTCTTGACTGTATGTGAAAGCTCTCCAGGTAACTTGGTTACCAGCTTATTGTCATACAAAATATGTCGGGCCCGCTTGATTATACTCGATAGGGAGAGCATTGGATTTGTAATCCAGGAGTGGTTGGTTAAATTCATGAAATCATGTGACAAAAGCAGTTAAACACTTGTAGAGAAGGTAAGTTACCCAGGTAACCCTGTTAGGTGGACTGACTGCCAAGATATGACTGTAATTGTGTTAAAAATCAGTATTAAAACCAGAAAAACAAACAAGAAAAAGTGTATGACTTCTGTGAACCTGAGGTTTTCCTTTACCAGTCAAGCTGAACTATTACCACATGGCTTTACGGTTACCACAATGTATATGCCAAAAGGAAGACATCTTAAAATAAATTTTTTAGTGCTATAATTCAAATTTCATATTTTGGTGACATACATAAAAAAGTACATTTTATTACAGGAATTTCTGAGATCTCAGGAGCCAATCAACAGAGACGACTATGTAACAAGTTACTACAACTTACTGAAACATTATAACAGTACCCTGGCAAAGAAGTCCTTACCACCCGGTACACTAGAAGAAATAGAAATCAAGGAGAATGAAGAAAAATATCCGGGTTTACGTGTCACATACAAATATTCAACAATATTTCTTGCGCCCATGTCACATTGTGATCCGATAGAGTATATTTATGATGATAATCTGGATAAGAAAACCGTTGATGCACATAAATGGATTAATAGCTTTGAACCGGATTTGGGTTGCGAGAAAGGGCACCAGAAATTTGAGAAAGGTGTAAGGTAGGAACTGGTAGCATTTCTCTCAAATTGTCTCTCAAATTGTCTGCTCAATCATTGATAATCATTTTGTATAAAACAATGTGAAAAAAAAGTTTTTTTCAGACAAATACTTTAAGAATTTAGAACTAATTTAAAATAATTTCAAATGCCTGTCTGAATATCCTTTGCAGAGCAATACCCTTTGATATACAAATATTTTGGTTGTTTCAGAGAGGTTTCACTCTAGAGATGTTAAATCTGTTGTGAAGTCTTGCTTTGGAAAGTATTATAGTATTGTAAAAAAGAGGAATAAAGTTGTTCTGAATGCAACTCCTCTTACATATCTCAAGAGATTTGAACCAAACTTTCACACACCTATTTTCATTATGTGCTGACTGGCACACATTGTTTGAGTTTTACAATCATTAATTATTGGTGTAAAACCTGGCCTCAAGGTTATGAAACTTTTTTTCTGAGTTCTGTCCCAAAGCTCAGCATTTTTTATTGTTCAGTGTAAATTCTGTGACTGTTTCTGACCAATCAAATACCTAAGATCTGAGTCTTAGCTGAGAAAATTTATTCGTAACTTCAGACCCTCGTTTTGTGTGAACTTCTGTGACTTTGTGTAAAGAACATTTTTTAATTTTCATTTGGGAGACTTTCTGACTAAATGGTTTACTTAAGAGTGCTGACTCTTACTAGTGTGGGTTCAAATCCCACCAGGGGGGACTAGTGGATATCTACATGTAAGTACTGACATAATCAAGCTTTCTTACAGAAGGTTGGTGGTTTGTCTAAAGTGACTACACATGAGCCGCATCAAGACAAAACCAACATAATGTGTTTGCGACCAGCATGGATCCAGACCATGCTGTTCGCTTACAAACCTAGTATTACAAGTAGAGAAACTGAAAGCGAACAGCATTGATCCTGATCAGACTGTGCAGAGGCACAGGCTGGTCTGGATTCATGCTGGTCGTAAACGCATTATGTTGGTTTTGTCATGAGGCGGCTCATGTGTGAAGTTATACATATAAGAGTCAGGTACAGGTCTGAAGTCTTCCTCGACCAGTAAAGACCAGTAAAGCTAGATGTTAGCCATATGACTTGTACAGTATTGTTATGACTTAAAACCCAGTCCAAAGCCCTTGTGTTTGATTTCCTTTGGTAACAAATGATTGGTGTATACTTTAATACTTACCATGCAAAATGTCTTTAATCATAAAATAGACTTGTTCATGTTTCAGTGTATATAAAACCATTCAAAAGTTAGCAAAAATTGTTTAAGATAAGTACCAACTCAGTAGCAAACAGTACAGACCATGACAAGATAATGGCATAGATATTCTCGCTGATCTAGGTCTGCACCAGGGAGAATCTGTTGCTGACGGCAAGCTTTATGTTCTAGGGCAGATGTGTTGATTACACAACCTATTGAAGAGATCTGGAAGGCAAGTTTATTTGAGTCACTCAGCAATGTAAAATGGTTTAATGTGGGACTGAGAAGTGGGGTGTTCAGAGCTTATCCAGGTCACAGATCAAGACGGACATACGACCCAACTAAGTACATTTCTTTTTAACATCTACTTGAACCTTTTTTTCTCTTTCACCATTTTAGAAACATGCCAGAATTGTTCTTTTTTCTCACCATTTTGGAAACATGTTATACTGTAAAATTATTATCAGGAAATTTTTAAGTTTCTTGTAAGTTTGAACAAACACAGAATGGAAATTAGTTTAAACATGTACTGAATCTATTGCTAATTGGAAGAAAAGAAAAAAATACAAAGAAAACACACATCATGATTTATTTTAGTTGGATTGTGTAGGAAGCTATAAGCTTATATAAACACATTTCCAAATTCATGCTTGAAACCAACAAGTGAGTGTAAAATTTCTTGCTGAAGGCAACAAAGACTAGCCCCTTACGGGGTCCCAATTCACTGGGCTAGCAATCTTAATTGGCAATTTCTCTTTAAAGGGTCCATCACTTGACACTTCACCAGTATTCTTTTATAATATTTAATAATGCTTGTCCGGAGTATAACTTGAAAAATATTTATGGAGTTAAATTAAAACTTCACACTATGATAGAGATTAGTTTGAGAAAGTGCAAAGTACTACCTTGCTTATTTTATTTTTAAATTATCTCCCTTTATTATACTTAAAAATGTTGAGTGCTTGACAGTAATACTACTATAAACTATCAATAATATCAACAGGTAATCTAAGGGGCCTCCGTGGCCGAGTGGTTAAAGTCGCTGACTTGAGATCACAGGTCCCTCACCACTGTAGGTTCGGTCCTCACTCGGGTCGAAATCTTTCATGTGAGGAAGCCATCCAGCTGGCTTACGGAAGGTCGGTGGTTCTACCCAGGTGCCCGCTCGTGCCTGAAATAATGCCCGGAGGGGCACCTGGGGTCTTCCTCCACCAATAAAGCTGGAAAAAAATCGACGAAAAATCTCGGCGGGACGCTCTAGGATGACCCGACTTGAGTGTACAGTCGCCCATATGGGCTTTCCGGCGGCGACCTTAAATAAACGCAATTAAAAAAAAAAAACAGGTTATCTACTTTCAGATATTGATTATACTTGAGTTGATGTACTGTGTGTTACAGACAGCTCTTTGTGTTTTTTTCCTTATATTTTCCAAGTTAAATGCAACTCTTTTTTTCTCGATATGCAAACATAATTAGATAATCATTAATAACCATATTTTATGTATCACTCGATGAACTGTCCTGTAAGCTCAGTAGGTAGTGTGTTGGACTGTGAATCAGGTGTCCTGGGTTCGATTTCAGGACAATGTAGGTCACTTCTGTTATGATTGATCATGAAATTCTTTCTACTGTCACTCATACTGTAGTTTTGCTCTTGCATGCAGAGAAGTTGTCAGTTCCTTGCAAATATTTAGGCAACTAGTACTGATTTAACTTCTTGAAAGCCTGCCCAGGAATGATGTGGTAGCTGAATTGTGCTCTGGTAAATTCAGTGTGGTTTACTGCCGTGATTTGGAGTGAAAACTACCCACACCAAAACCAACCACTTAAATTATCGGAAAACCATGGCTTTTTTCTTAGTTTCGGATGTTCATTCTTTAATTTAAGTGAACACAGTTTTAATAGTTAAATAGAACTTTCATAAAGATGGAATTTTGTTTTCACAAGAAAGCCAGGGTTGAAATAACACTAAATGTGATGTAATATGTCAACTATAATGATTTAATACAGGCGACCATGGTACAAGAGGACAAGTGCAGCCCCTCATCAGATATCTATATCAACACCATATATGGATGCTGCTGGTGTTGGAAAGATCAACACTATATCACAGGCAGTTTTTGAAGGGATGAAAGTGAAGACGGAAGAGGAATGTCGTAATTTTTCCGACTCTGGACCATGGCCAGGGGGATGTAAATGTAACGTTGATGATGATTGTATAATCAGTAAGTCAACATGTTTTTTGCTTACAATAAATATAACACTTACTGGTTGGAAACCCAGATTCTTGTCAAAATTTGCCAATTTTCATAAGAAAAAATGCTAATGAGATCTTTGGCATAATGCTTATAAAAGCTTGAACTTTTGACCGATTCTTTGACAAAAAAGCTGAATAATAACTTTTGTGTTAGCAATGTATAAATAGGGGGTTATGAATGTTCACAGAGTCCCCACTGCATTTGAGTTGTTGCTAGGGAGCTTCCTTGGCATTCTTTGGCTTTCTGTCTGTATTTTAATTGTCAATTGTCCCCATTTATATGGCCATACCCAATGTGTTTCCAGTGCCATGAAATTCTTTAGCTTACCTTTTGGCTTGAAGCAAAGGCAAAAAAATATTGAAAATTTTTTTTTTTGGTTTACAGAGGTTTGTTACCTAAGTAAGAGCCCCTATGCCGATGATCATCGCCGCTGTGCCACAGAACGTGTTGAGGCTGTGACTGGACTTGATATTCTATATGATGACTTCCAAAACAAAACAATGGACAGTATGGAAGCTAGTGACTTCAAAAAGTCTTGTGGTCAGCTATATGATTGTCCAGATGGGGAACCTGGGTGCTCCACAAGGTATTGTATAAATAAATGTTCTCTGAAAAATACATGTGTAGTATTTAATTATATGGTAGATGGAGGTATTTACATCATATTATAGGGCATTTTGTTGTAGCAAGACTGAAAGGACACTATAAGAAGGGTTATACTTAAATAAGTAATAGATTTACTTACTTTGTTTTTTCCTGGCATGGAAATGCTCCACGATTTTATAACTATTTTATCAAAACTTAAAATGTTTGCATTATCATAAAAAAATGCAAGTACTTTTCATTCTACATATGAGCAAAAGAATTTAATTCTTATTTATATAAAACTTAAGTAATTTACAAAAAAGAGAGCATTTCTCTTGGGTTAATTTCATCATGATTATAAATTCTGACAGTCGAGAAAATCAGTGACAAAATCTTCAGGTTTTTTATGTTGAATCTGTAAACTTGATGCTGACTTCAGAATTAAACTTTAAATTTCACAAAAAAAACCAGATTTTTTTAAACTGAAGATGTCTTAATATCAAAACTGGTATCTTAAATTGCTATGTGTCTATTACAGGTCTAATTGAAGAAAAAGTAATTTTATTGACTGAAAACAGATAATAATTAAACTTTATTTCCAGATGTTATTTGTTCGACTCAAATGCATTTCTGATAATGGACCCTGATTTCTTATTGGCGAGTGACCTTGATGAGAGCAAGTACGAGCGAGTGCAGCTCGGAGAAAAAGAAGGCGAGGTAATGAAGGATCTGGTGTATAAACACGGTTTTATACGAAGGACCGAGAAGGTCGATTTCCAGGGATCTTGTAGAATAACGCCAGAGGAACCGAAGGTTTGTGTAAAATCTATCCATCATTAATTTTATAATGTTACTAAAGTATTTTAGAGCATTACTAATGCTGATAATGGGTAGTATTGTTAAGTTTGTGTCAAATTAGTCACATTATATACATCGTTTTATATCATGAATGTTGGACAAGGGTTAACCTTTTTTGAAGGGACCCCACTGAGGTTATTTTACATGACAGGACTGGAAATTATTTTTTGTGATAAGTGTTCCATTTGATGTACATCTACTTCAACAACGTATGTATTAAATTTCAGATCATTCGCTCGCTCCGTTTTTCAAAAAAAAAAAAAATTTAATTGTGAAAAATGACCCAAAATTGAAAAGCGTCCCATGGCTTTTTACTCAAATCGGGCTAAGAATAGCACAAAATACTATTTCTGTTTATTTCTGAGTCTGTTTCTTATTTATCTGTTGCATATCTTCCCATATAAGTGCCCCATTTGGTCTATTTAAGAATTTCAAATTTTATGTTCTTAGGCTTTTTGACCTTAGTGGAGTTTCTTTGATTTGCTGAATTTGAGTGGTTGATTTGCTCTACTTTGAATCTGAAACAGTCCATTCCAGGATTTTCAATTTTATGGGTTTTCCACAATTCAATGGCAGAACAAAAAAGCTTGGTTAGACTGCATTTAAATGTTCACACTTGCTTGACTTTTGGGATCAGCAGGGTGATGGTGAAATCATTTTCATTGCAGGAAACATTGGATGGTATACCAAAGAACCCTGAAGAACAAGATGACTATATTAGAAATAAAGGGCCAATACCAAAATTCAACAATGAGTTTGGATGTATACAAGATGTAGTGGGATATTCAGTCAATGAAACAGCATTAGGTATGAATTATTGACCAATTGACAATAAACAGGTTTTGTTTCCTGTTGCTTTTTATCATATTGATTGTCTAATTTGATGAGATTTAAATAAACATACGTGCATATTATTCCCTTGTTCTTGAAATGGCTAAAACATTACACTATTTTAGTCTACTTTTTCTTGATGTATGATGTAAAATTTTTAAATGAATTCTTTCAACAAATGGTACTTACGGTTTATGGATTGAACTAAGAACACCTTTTGTAGATGAAAATTTTCAAAATTTTGACATGCTTCACAGATGGCAAAATTTCATTTCTGAAATTGAATTAAAAAATATATATATCACATGTTTTCTGCAATATTTGCTGTGTGGTTAAATATAGATACAAATGTGGACTCAGAAATGCAAACAGTGCGGTATATTTTTAGAAATTGAACATTTATACTTATATAATTTCTCTGTAGTGAACACAAATGTTAAGTAAAAATACAAGAAGTGTGCTATATTTTCAATACTGCAACTTTTATGCAAACTTTTGGACAACTCTTGTTTGTAAGGGCAAGTGAAAAAATTAGTCAGTCATTGAGTCAGCTAGAGTGTAGGACAAAAGCCCTCCGGGACAAAAACCCTCCCGTCAAAAAGTGTCAAGGCGGACAAAAGCCCTCCCGTGAAAATGACAAGGCGGACAAAAACCCTCCTGTGAAAATGACGGGGCGGACAAAAGCCCTCCCGTAAAAATGACTTGGCGGACAAAAACCCTCATGTGAAATTGATAGGGCAGACAAAAGCCCTCCCGCAGCAAATACATAATTATGTACGTTGGATAGTTTATATTTTCTTTTCAATGCACTCAACATATCAAAATTGTAATCGTGAATATTTTTGTTTTCTATTGGCATAAGCTTGTTTGTATGAGCTTGAGCACATTCCTGACAGGCATCTGAATAATTAGTGCTAAAATCTGTAAGTGCATATTTATTCACGTAGATATGAAGGATTACTGATATGTGAAGTTAAGATTAATAGAGTAATAAATTATCAAAAGAAGTTAAAATTATCTAACTTAAAAGTTCAAGACATTTATAATGTGCCTTGTAATGAGTCAATTACTTTTAAAAGTGACTTTGTTTTTAACGACATTCATGTAAAAAAGTTACCTCGTTAAACATTTCAGAAAGGTATATTCAGAAAAAAGGTGGTTCTAGCTCATACATATACTTAGGCCAATTGAAAACAACAAGAAATATATGTAACAATTCTAATACGTTGAGTGCCATGAAAAAACACAGGTATTTAACATATATATCTATTTTTGTTACGGGAGGGCTTTTGTCCGCCCTATTATTTTCACGGGAGGGCTTTTGTCCGCCAAGTCATTTTTATGGGAGGGCTTTTGTCCGCCCTGTCATTTTCCCAGGAGGGCTTTTGTCCGCCTTGTCATTTTCACGGGAGGGCTTTTGTCCGCCTTGTCATTTTTTGACAGGAGGGCTTTTGTCCGGGAGGGCTTTTGTTTGTTTCCCAGTCAGCTATAGGACTGTGAAATCCGTACTCGAGAAATAATGGTTCCACTTGGAACTTGTTATTGCTCGTTTCTTACAGAAAATCTGTACAATAATGTTGAATGCCGTTGAATAAGAATCAACATTTTTACAACGTATATGAAAATATGTATAAATCTTACTACACAGGTCCAAGTCGGATGGTAACGGGTAATGTATCTGGACCATGTATGTCAGGATTTTACTATGTTACCACACTTCCCAAGACGAATCTCTACCTACTTGTTATAGAGAACTGGAAACAGTATAGAGAGTCTCTGTTCTATAACTTCAACTGTAAAATAACTAGAAGGTAAGTTACATTGTGTGACCTTGACCTGACTAAAAGCTTGTCCGACCAATAACTAATCAAAGCTTGGTCTACAGTGCTCAGATTTGGCATGGAGGTTCATTTTGTTTAGTCATGTGCAATAGTAATGTGTGCTAAGTGAGACATTCTTTGCTTTTTTACTGACGAGAGTCAACTATAATAATATGGAAACAACGTAATTTTACAATCTAATTAAAATTTATATAGATGTTTGGAAAAAACCCGCCCCTGGTAGGATTAAAACCTACTACCTCCAGATTATGAGTTTGGTGTACCACTCCTACACTACTCTTCCATACATGTGATATCCCTGCAGGATAAAAAATCTCAATATTTTGACCCACCTTTCACCCTTATCCCGATTCCCGATATCGGAAATTGAATTCCCGATATTTGTTTTTCAGTCAATAAATTAATACCAACTTAAATAAATACCCCCAAAAATATCAAACAAGGCACCTGTCTTAAAAATGTTAACCATGCCTCCAGTTATTTGTGATGAATAATATCTGTCAATATCATACATGCCATATTTCCAGCCACCCAGATAGGGGGATTTGGCTTTAAAAAGCAGGGGATTTGGACCAAAAGTAGGGGGATTTTTAAGCAAGCACAAACCAGTTGTAATCTTAAAACTATGCAAACATATACTTATATTTCCCCCATTTTATCATAAAAATGTGCATTTCTACAACATAATTTGTAACTTTCAAGTTTTAAACACAAATAAGTAACAACTTAAACATGTATCCGAAATGTGATACATCTGAAATCTCATATTTTTTCATACATGACATTGTTGATTCTTTCAGCAATATATGTTATTAAAAATTACGTCCAGAATTAAGTGATTTCTTCAATTACTTAATATATAATTCAAATTCTTGATACAAAGAAAATGAAGAATGTCAAATAAAAGTTAGATCTAATATTTACACTGGAATTTAATCTGCAAGGACCCAATGAATTCTTCATGGAAATATCGGTAATGGAGTTTCATTTCCGGTTTTCACCTTAAAAAAGTTTGATATGAACATTTGTATTATGAATAATTATAGATTGTTTTGCGATTATATTTTAATAATTTAATGAATCATTGTGTTCTTTCTTTAAAAATTTAGAGTTGTAAAGGATTTTCCCCTCAGTGTTCGTCAGTTACCGTGAGACAAAGCTAGTTTCAAACATTACTTGTCTGTGATTCTTTGAGTTTCTATTGCCTGATCATTAATTTTATCTGCATCACTCGCTACTTCTTATCAACTTCAAAGACTCAACCTGACCACAAACTTAAGGCAGGGTTACATGTCCCAACGTCATGCATTCTGTATCGGACGCTCTTATTGGTTAAGCGCCTGCAATACAAACACTGATTGATAGGTTAATAGAAGGAGAATTGTGTCATGCATTGATTTGTTTATTCCTTGACGGCTGAAGTGTGTCCGAGTAACCAACAATGCAATTATCCGTTAGACCACTGCAGTTTTAAGGGGAGATATTACTTCTGGCATGTATAGTTGTAAAAGTTGTTTAAGTCTTTCCTTAAATTATGTTTATTGGTAAAAATGATGCTTTAATTTTGTTGTATAGTCAATATCCTGTATAATAATGGAATAAATATAGTGTTGCTAATTGACAACAAGGTGATGTAATAAACAACTCAATAGGACAAAGGCCTCTTGTTGGTAGCCTAAGTAAGTCTCACATGTTAACTAAACACGTGTTGGCTTTCACATTATTTGGCAGAAGGTATTGCATGGTATGTCAGAAGGACTGCTTAAATTTACATGTAAGAATTTGCACATATAATAAAAGTATGCACCACCAGATGTTCTTTAATTGGTGCTGTACTGATACAGATTAATGGTCAACCAGGATAATTTTAAAACCTGTTTGAAATGGGACTATGTGTAATTCATCTGTTTTAGCGAGTCTATAATATAAATAATATGCTTCTCATTCCTATAGGGATATACATTTTTCAAATTACTATTTTATTTTTGTGTCGCCTTGAAAAAGGCGACATATAGGGGTTACTTTTGTCGGCGGCGTCTTTGTCGGCGTCCCCTTAAACTTTTCCGGAGCATAAGTCAGAAATTATAAGTCGGATTGACTTAAAACTTGGTATGTATGCTTTTTATAATTACCCAATGTGCAGTGCACAAGAGCCAGTACTCTGCACTTCTTAATTTTTGAGTTATTGCCCTTTGTTAATTTTCATACTTTATTTTTGACTGGGCCATTTCTCCTAAAGTATAAAAGCCATGGACTTGACTTTTCACAGGATGATAGATCACATTAAGAAGAAGTGCAGTGCATAAGAACCGGTACTCTGCATTTCTTATTTTTTGAGTTATTGCCCTTTATTAATTTTCATACTTTATTTATTGTCCAGGCCATTTCTCCTAAAGTATAAAAACTATGGACATCAAACTTCAAAGGATGATAGATCTTGTTAAGAAGAAGTGCAGTGCACAAGAACCGGTACTCTGCATTTCTTATTTTATGAGTTATTGCCCTTTGTTACTTTTCATACTTTATTTTTGTCCAGGCCATTTCTCCTAAAGTACAAAAGCTATGGACATGAAACTTTATAGGATGATAGATCTCATTAAGAAAAAGTGCATTGCGCAAGAACCGGTACCCTGCATTTCTTATTTTTTGAGTTATTGCCCTTTGTTTATTTTCACTCTTTATTTTTGTCCAGGCCATTTCTCCTAAAGTATAAAAGCTATGGACATGAAACATCATAGGTTGATAGATCTCATTTTTCTCATTTTTGAGTTATTGCCCTTTGTTAATTTTCATACTTTATTTTTGACTGGGCCATTTCTCCTAAAGTATAAAAGCCATAGACTTGACTTTTCATAGGATGATAGATCTCATTAAGAAGAAGTGCAGTGCATAATAACAGGTACTCTGCATTTCTTATTTTTTGAGTTATTGCCCTTTATTAATTTTCATACTTTATTTATTGTCCAGGCCATTTCTCCTAAAGTATAAAAACTATGGACATCAAACTTCAAAGGATGATAGATCTTGTTAAGAAGAAGTGCAGTGCACAAGAACAGGTACTCTGCATTTCTTATTTTATGAGTTATTGCCCTTTGTTACTTTTCATACTTTATTTTTGTCCAGGCCATTTCTCCTAAAGTACAAAAGCTATGAACATGAAACTTTATAGGATGATAGATCTCATTAAGAAGAAGTGCAGTGCACAAGAACCAGTACTCTTCATTTCTTATTTATTGAGTTATTACCCTTTATTAATTTTCATACTTGGACTTGAAACTTCATATGATGATAGATCTTATTGAAAAGAAGCGCAGTGCACAGAAACTGCTGCTCTGCACTTCTTATTTTTTGAATTATTGCCCTTTTTTGATTTTCATATTTCATTTTTGTTCTGGCCATTTTTCCTAAACTATATTGTTCACTGTGAAGGCGACACATCCGACTCGCGGAGTTCTAGTTTTAAGAAATAAAGGATTTAAAATGGAAAACTTCTTGCTGTTATTTAACTGCCTGAGAAAAAATACCATGACATTGTCTTTTGATCAGTTATAATTTTTCTAACACATTTTCAAATATACTTTTTATATACGGGGTTACATGTCAAGTACTTTTTGACATGTCACATTGATGGTGAAATATGAAGAAAAAATCGCTTCTTTGTTTTGATTTATTGAATGTCTCAGCAAGAAAAGACAGAGACACCCAACTGTTGTTCAATATATGAGCCACGTCATGACAAAACCAACATAGTGGGTTTGCGACCAACACGGATCCAGACCAGCCTGCACATCCGCGCAGTCTGATCAGGATCCATGCTGTTTGCAAACGCATAACGTTGGTTTTGTTGTGACACGGCTCATATATGCAAACTGAAAATAATGAAATGTGACTGTTCTGTGTGGACTTATAATAATATGGGACATAGGCAATATGATTATGTCCTTTTTTTTTTCGGTGATATGAAATTGTTAAAATATTAATACATATATATTAGATATCAAATGTGTTTAAGGCTTGTTGAAATTAAAGATGTTAAAAAAAGCTCAAATTTTGAGCCCCAAAATCCAGCTGAAAATCCAGTTTTGGCCGATTTCAGTTATCACAGGTATGCTCTTTTCATTAGAAACAGGTACCATGTAAAGGCTGTTTACTTCAAATCAAAACTTTATCTGTATTCTAGCAAGGTCATCGTACATTTGCAAATATACAGAGGTTAGCTAAACATCCCCACTTTGTGTTTGTCAAACACTGGATCGACAATAAGTTTGTAACAGAGATCAAGAAAAAACTGACCTATCCTTTGAACTAGGATGGTTATTAATTTTAGAATATACATGTAGATTTTATATAGATCTATAAGCATGTTAACCTTTTGTCTCCTGTTTTGGATAAATTTTTCATTAACAAGACTTGAATATTAGCTAAACAGTTGCCACATAACAACCACTGCAACATCTTTGGGAAAAAAAGGTTAAAGGTTGCTACAGCATAGTAAGTTTTTGTGGAATCTTTTGTTTTTTTTGGGGGGCGGGGGAATTTTTTTTTTTATTGGTGGGGGTGGGGGAATAAATAGTGTTGTTGTAAATATGATATTACTCTACTGAGGGCAGCTTGGCAGAACTTGCACTGTATTTACTGTTTTAAAAATAACATTCTTTATTCTTTTATTGTATTTGTTTTCAGCATTGTGAACTCAGGGGCTTACAGAATAATAAATGGGACTTGTGCCCACGAGGAATCACCAACAGTTACTCTAGCAGGACAGAACAAATGCCCAGCATTAAGAGATCTCAAGCTACCGTGTACATATACCACAGGCTGTAGACACACTATATCTGTATGGTTACTAAGCTGTTTGCTGATTTTGATGTTAGTCATTAAATAGTGCCAGTGGAATCAAGACTTAAAATCAACAGTGACATTCCATTATACTCTGAAAAACATTCCTGTGCATATAAAGCAACTCAAGTGTACATTCATGAAAATACTCAAGTGTACATTCATGAAAATACTCAAGTGTACATTCATGAAAATACTCAAGTGTACATGAAAACACTCAAGTGTACATTAAAACACTCTAGTGCACATTAAAAACATTTCATTGCACACGAAAATACACAAGTGTACATGAAAAAAACATTTAAATGCACATAAAAATACTCTGGTGCATATAAAAACAGTGTACATAAAAGTTTTCCAGTGTACATATTCAGAATTTTACCCTTTAAGTTTCGAATTTATGTAATGGACATGACCTAGTTTGATTTTGGAATTGTCCATTAATTATTTAAAGAGATTTCTACATTGAGATTATCTAAGACTGAGCTGCCAAAACATTGTATATACTATTGACAGTCAGTCTTCATTTCAGTGAAAGGGTCTCCACAGAGGTTTTTTGACATGACTGGACTAGGAATATTTTTTCAAGATTTTTATACAATTTGAACCCATTATGTTGGTTTTGTCATGATGCGGCTCATTTGATGAAAATCTGTACCAAAAACTTGTGTCATAAATTGAAGTCATTTGTCCATTCCGTTTTTCCAGAGAATCATTTTTAGTGTGCAAAATAACATAAAAATGAAAAGTGTTGTAATGCTTTTTAACTTAAATTGCTAATTGAGAATTGCACTTGTTATCAATTTTCAATTTAATTCTGGGTATATTCCTCTATTACCCTTGTCATATTTTTTCTGTTTATGTGCCCAGGTTGGATCCATGTACATGATGTAAGATTTTCAAAATTAATGTTGTTATGCTTTTGGACATCAGTGAAGTTCCTTTAACTAACTGAATTTCTTATATTGACTGGTACAGCTTCTTTTTTTATTGAAATGTCCATGATCAATTTAGGGAATGTTAAAATGAAAATTTGAAGTTATACAGTAAAGAGTTTTGAACCTAGTCAGACTGCATGGATGTGTAGACTGGCCTGGCTCTATTCTGGTGGCATTAAAGTCTAAGCAGCAAGGTAAGGTTTCAAGTCTAAACGTTAAAAATAGGACTAAGACTTCATGATGAATATTATTATGATTTAGCTCTTTTTTGAATATGCAATTTCTTTAGATAATGGATACACATACTGCCGCAATTAGTTCTTTAAGATTTCAAGAAAGACCTGAAATAGTGAAATATAGCAAAAATGTAAAATTTAATTCAAAGTTAAGTTCTATGTCAAGGTCTGTCAGTAGATATAAAGGTTAAAGGATTGACAGACTTTATCAGTTTGAAAAAACTAAGAAAACATGTTGGATAATGGAATGTCAACAGTTTGACGGCCATAGGATAGTTATTTTAATATTACAGACCACCTGGTTGTTATATACTGTGGGATGAGATAGGAGGATAGGACACAGAAGAAATAAAAAGGATGCAATTATTTCCTGTCAGCTAAGATAGCTTTATACAGACGTCATTATTTTCCAGTTTGGAAAATTATTTTTCTAGCTAATCTGTATGTGAAGGCCATAATTTTCCAGTTTGGAAAATTATTGTTTTAGATAATCTGTATGTGGATACCATTATTTTTCCAGTTTTGAAAATTATTGTTCTAGATAATCTGTATGTGGCGGCCATTGTTTTTTTTAGTTTGGAAGCTTATTGTTCTAGATAACCTGTATGTGGAGGCCATTATTTTCCAGTTTGGAAAATTATTGTTCTAGATAATCTGTATGTAAAGGCCATTATTTTCCAGTTTGGAAAATTATTGTTCTAGATTATCTGTATGTGGAGGCCATAATTTTCCAGTTTGGAAACTTATTGTTCTAGCTAATCTGTATGTGGAGGCCATAATTTTCCAGTTTGGAAAATTATTGTTCTAGATAATCTGTATGTGGATGCCATAATTTTCCAGTTTGGAAACTTATTGTTCTAGCTAATCTGTATGTGGAGGCCATAATTTTCCAGTTTGGAAACTTATTGTTCTAGCTAATCTGTATGTGGAGGCCATAATTTTCCAGTTTGGAAAATTATTGTTTTAGATAATCTGTATGTAGATGCCATTATTTTCCAGTTTGGAAAATTATTGTTCTAGATAATCTGTATGTGGAGGCCATAATTTTCCAGTTTGGAAACTTATTTTTTCTAGCTAATCTGTATGTGGAGGCCATAATTTTCCAGTTTGGAAACTTATTGTTCTAGCTAATCTGTATGTGGAGGCCATATTCTAGTTTGGAAAATTATTGTTTTAGATAATCTGTATGTGGCTGCCATTGTTTTTTTAGTTTGGAAGCTTATTGTTCTAGATAACCTGTATTTGGAGGCCATTATTTTTCCAGTGTTCTAGAAAATCTGTTTTTGGGGGCCATTATTTTCCAGTTTGAAACACTAAGTTTTTTATAAACATGTTATCTATTTGTATTTTGATGTACACATGCACATGAAAATTGGATTATTAAATGCAGAATAAAAGTTTGGTTCAAGTGACTTAGCTAGAGTTTGATCAAGGACTAAACTTTCTTTTATGTGGAAAAAGCTACAATCTTAAAACTTGAACCACATACTCAATTGAATATGCCATGTCAGTTTTATACTTGATGTAGATTTTGACAAAAAAATTTAATGTAACTGGTAGACAGCTAGGTGATTAATCTAGTAGCACTCTTGTTATAAGTATATTAACTTGATGTAATTTTGAGCCATCCATATTTCTAACCAGTATTTACCTTTAAATCAAATGAAAAACATGTTGTTGTTATTTACTTTTGCATGCCTCGATTGTACATTCTAATTACCTGGGAATGGCCAGAAAGGCTACATATTGAAGAATGTCTATTTATGTAATATTCTGAGATGGTTTTATACTGTAAACAAACAACAATAATGTTTGCTTTTGATACCAGTGCCCTCTTTTAAAGTTTGTTTACAAAAACAAGTTGCTTGCTTTTGATGCCAGAGGTCTTTTTTTAAAGTGAGGTCTTTTTTTAAAGTTTGTTTACAAAAACAACTTAACCTTTTTTTGATGCTACTGTGACCTAGTTTTAAAGTGTGTTTACAAAAACAACTTGTCTCATTTTGTTTACAAAAACAACTTTGTCTGCTTTTGATGTCTATAAAACTTAAGTCAGAAAATCCCCTTTTTCAAGAATTATACACAATTTCCTTTCATGAACCAATCATGACCAAAAAATTATAGTATGGAATAATACAACAGTTAACTCCCTTTTATTATAATTATAAGCTCCACCATTTGTATTAAATAACTAGAAATCTGTTAGATAACAAAATTTAATCTGTTTCATAATGTATATAATTATGTATGCATAACTGTATTTTTATCGCTTAGCCTGCAGGTAGCTACAGAATCAATCCTAAGTGACTATGATTGCTAATCAGTCAGTATAGTACCTGTTTTTATATTTCCTGAAAAATTATGAATGTATGTTTTTGTCTAGATGAAAAGTTGTACAAGTTCATGTAAGACTTTTGCAAGTGGTATAAAGGTAAAGTTCCAGTGATGTGTAAGATATTAAGATCATGGTAAAGGGATTGCCAAATCTTAGTCAAATGATATTGGTTGCTAAGTTGTGCTGACTTTCTATCATAATAAATGAAGATACTAAAATCTGATTTGGTGAAAAATGTATTTGATAGAAATTTACCTGTAACTCTGTTTGTGGCAATAAAATCTGTCCATGCTACCTGTGCGTCCGTGACTGAGTGGTTAAGGTTGTCAACTTCAAACCACTTGCCCCTCACCGCTGTGGGTTCCAATCCCGACAGGGACTTTGGATTCTTTCATGTGAGGAAGCTATCCAGCTAGCTTACGGAACATCAGTGGTTCTACTCAGGTGCCCGTTCGTTCCTGAAATAATGCACCGAAGGGCACCTGAGGTCTTCCTCCACCAGTAAAGCTGGAATGTCGCGATATGACCTATACTGTGTCGATGTGACGTAAAACCCAAAACAAACATACAGAAAACTGTGCATATCAGGATCAGCTGTCACACCATGCTGTATAAGTATGATCATGGTTGTATAGTAGTCTTAATTGTTCCCTATGCATTGAGTAGTTATTATAAATGTTCCCTTTTTAGTGAGTAGTTATTTCAAAATGTTCCCTTTTAAGTGAGTAATTATTTCAAAATGTTCCCCATTCATTGAGTAGTTATTATAAATGCTCCCTATTCAGTGAGTAGTTATTTCAAAATGTTCCCCAATTATTGAGTAGTTATTTTAAAATGTTTCCTATTTAGTGAGTAGTTATTTCAAATTGTTCCCTATTCAGTGAGTAGTTATTCCAAAATGTTCCCTATTCAGTGAGTAGTTATTTCAAAATGTTCCCCTATTCAGTGAGTAGTTATTTCAAAATGTTCCCCATTCAGTGAGTAGTTATTCCAAAATGTTCCCTATTCAGTGAGTAGTTATTTCAAAATGTTCCCTATTCAGTGAGTAGTTATTTCAAAATGTTCCCCTATTCAGTGAGGAGTTATTTCAAAATGTTCCCCTATTCAGTGAGTAGTTATTTCAAAATGTTCCCCTATTCAGTGAGGAGTTATTTCAAAATGTTCCCCTATTCAGTGAGGAGTTATTTCAAAATGTTCCCCTATTTAGTGAGGAGTTATTCCAAAATGTTCCCTATTCAGTGAGTAGTTATTTCAAAATGTTCCCCTATTCAGTGAGTAATTATTTCAAAATGTTCCCCATTCATTGAGTAGTTATTATAAATGCTCCCTATTCAGTGAGTAGTTATTTCAAAATGTTCCCTATTCAGTGAGTAGTTATTTCAAAATGTTCCCCTATTCAGTGAGGAGTTATTTCAAAATGTTCCCCTATTCAGTGAGTAGTTATTTCAAAATGTTCCCCTATTCAGTGAGTAGTTATTTCAAAATGTTCCCCTATTCAGTGAGGAGTTATTCCAAAATGTTCCCTATTCAGTGAGTAGTTATTTCAAAATGTTCCCCTATTCAGTGAGTAATTATTTCAAAATGTTCCCCATTCATTGAGTAGTTATTATAAATGCTCCCTATTCAGTGAGTAGTTATTTCAAAATGTTCCCCAATTATTGAGTAGTTATTTTAAAATGTTTCCTATTTAGTGAGTAGTTATTTCAAATTGTTCCCTATTCAGTGAGTAGTTATTCCAAAATGTTCCCTATTCAGTGAGGAGTTATTTCAAAATGTTCCCTATTCAGTGAGTAGTTATTTTAAAATGTTCCCCATTCAGTGAGTAGTTATTAGCTCACCTTTCACAAAGTGACAGGGCAGGGTGAGCTTTTGTGATCGCTTTTCGTCCGGCGTCCGTCCGTCCGTAAACTTTTACTCTAAATGACATCTCCTCATAAACCACTAAGCCAATTTCATCCAAACTTCACAGGAATGTTCCTTTGGTGGTCACCTTTAAAAATTGTTCAAATAATTTAATTCCATGCAGAACTCTGGTTGCCATGGCAACCGAAAGAAAAACCTTTAAATATCTTCTTTTAAAAAACCATAAGAGCTAGAGCTTAGATATTTGGCATGAAACATCTTCTAGTGAGTGTCTACCAAGTTTGTTCAAATAAAAGCCCTGGGGTCAAAATTGGCCCCGCCCCTGGGGGTCATTGATTTTTCCTATATGCATATAGTAAAAACTTAAAAATTCTTCTTTTAAAGAACCCAAAGAGCTAGAGCTAAGATATTTAGCATGAAACATGTTCTAATGGGTGTCTACCAAGTTTGTTCAAATAAAAGCCCTGGGGTCAAAATTGGCCCTGCCCCGGGGGTCATTGATTTTCCCTATATGCATATAGTAAAAACTTAAAAAATCTTCTTTTAAAGAACTCAAAGAGCTATGGCTAAGATATTGAGCATCAAACATGTTCTAATAGGTGTCTACCAAGTTTGTTCAAATAAAAGCCCTGGGGTCAAAATTGGCCCCGCCCCAGGGGGTCATTGATTTTCCCTATATGCATATAGTAAAAACTTAAAAAATCTTCTTTTAAAGAACCAAAAGAGTTAGAGCTAAGATATTTAGCATGAAACATGTTCTAATAAGTGTCTACCAAGTTTGTTCAAATAAAAGCCCTGGGGTCAAAATTGGCCCCGCCCCGGGGGGTCATTGATTTTCCCTATATGCATATAGTAAAAACTTAAAAAATCTTCTTTTAAAGAACTCAAAGAGCTATGGCTAAGATATTTAGCATCAAACATGTTCTAATAGGTGTCTACCAAGTTTGTTCAAATAAAAGCCCTGGGGTCAAAATTGGCACCGCCCCGGGGGTCATTGATTTTCCTTATATGTGTAAAGCAAAAACTTAAAAAATCTTCTTTGAAAAAACCCAAATAGCTGGAGTTTAGATATTAAGTATGAAACATCTTCTAGTAAGTGTCTACAAAGTTTGTTCAAATAAAAGCCCTGGGGTCAAAACTGGCCCGGCCCAAGGGGTGTCATTGTTTTTAACTATATGTGTATAGTAAAAACTTTAAAAAAATCTTCTTTTAAAAAGCCCAATGAGCTAGAGCTTAGATGTTTAGCATGAAACATCTTCTTATGGGTGTCTACCAAGTTTGTGCAAATAAAAGCCCTTGGGTTAAATTGGCCCTGCAACGTTGGGGGGGCCTATATACAGGTGAGCGACCTCAGGGCCATCATGGCCCTCTTGTTTTAAAATGTTCCCTATTTAGTGAGTAGTTATTTCAAAATGTTCCTTATTCAGTAAGTAGTTATTTTAAAATGTTCCCCATTCAGTGAGTAGTTATTTTAAAATGTTCCCTATTTAGTGAGTAGTTATTTCAAAATGTTCCCTATTTAGTGAGTAGTTATTTTAAAATGTTCCCCATTCAGTGAGTATAATTATTTTAAAATGTTTCCTATTCAGTGAGTAGTTATTTCAAAATATTCCCTATTCATTGAGTAGTTATTTTAAAATGTTCCCTATTTAGTGAGTAGTTATTTTAAAATGTTCCCTATTTAGTTAGTAGTTATTTCAAAATATTCCCTATTCTGTGAGTAGTTATTTCAAAATGTTTCCTAATCAGTGAGTAGTTATTTCAAAATGTTCCCCATTCATTGAGTAGTTATTTTAAAATGTTCCCTATTTAGTGAGTAGTTATTTTAAAATGTTCCCTATTTAGTGAGTAGTTATTTCAAAATATTCCCTATTCTGTGAGTAGTTATTTCAAAATGATCCCCATTCAGTGAGTAGTTATTTTAAAATGTTCCCCATTCATTGAGTAGTTATTTTAAAATGTTTCCTATTCAGTGAGTAGTTATTTCAAAATATTCCCTATTCTGTGAGTAGTTATTTCAAAATGATCCCCATTCAGTGAGTAGTTATTTTAAAATGTTCCCAATTCAGTGAGTAGTTATTTTAAAATGTTTCCTATTCATTGAGTAGTTATTTCAAAATATTCCCTATTCTGTGAGTAGTTATTTTAAAATGTTTCCTATTCAGTGAGTAGTTATTTCAAAATGTTCCTCATTCATTGAGTAGTTATTTCAAAATGTTCCCTATTCAGTGAGTAGTTATTTCAAAATGTTCCCCATTCATTGAGTAGTTATTTTAAAATGTTTCCTATTCATTGAGTAGTTATTTCAAAATATTCCCTATTCTGTGAGAAGTTATTTAAACCTAAAAGTAAGATATCACAGTTGAATGTTCAGTATGAGTGGTATCTTTGCCTATACTCTTTTAAACTGTAAATTTTCTGCAAATTTATAAGCGTTAATTTTCAGCAAATTTAAGTGTTAATTTCAGCAAATTTGAATATAGATACATGCACTTTTAAAATGAAAAAAAAGTAAAAAGTGAATGCCTTGTGTAAGATGCCATAAAAGTACTTATATATATATATCAGGACAAAATAACAATACTTGAGATTTCTGCCTCTTTTATTATGATAGATGTTTAATTGTTGATCTAAAAAAATCTACCTTCTGAAGTCTTAACTATTGACAATTTCCCTTCTAGGTATTTTCCATC